TTGCGCAAAAAATATGTTCGCTCGAGTTCGCTTGGAATGCAACAGTTGCTGGTTCACTATTGCCGTCCACAGATCGTGGTCAAGAAAAGTCGATCTCTTCTCTGCTTTAGAGGCTGCGATGGCCTCCAACATCCTCCAACCTAATGGCGATGGCCTCCATAACCTGCTAGTGATGGCCTCCAACCTAATTATCGATGGCAATGGCCTCCAACCCAATGGCCATGGCCTCCAACCTAATTGCGATGGCCTCCAACCTCCTATAGCGATGGCGTCCAACCTAATAATGGCCTCCGACCTAATGGCAATATGGCCTCCAACCTCCTCCAACCTAATGGTGATGGCCAACCTATGTAATGTGGCGATGGCCTCCAACCTACTAGCGATGGCGTCCCGATGTTGATCACGTTGGACGCCCGCTGCCCACTCCGGGTGCTGATCGGCTGCTTTTGACCGTTGCCGCGCGGGAAAGAACAAAGACGACGACGGTCGTCCGCGTCCGAACGGTCGTCCGAACGGGTTTGCTGGGTCTGTCGGGTCGAGCGCGAGCATGGCGGCCATCGCTCGGCATGTGGGCTGGTGGGTGCCATGTGGGAATTGCTGAAAAGCAGAAGGGATTTTCAAGAAACAGGTGGAGGTGGCTGTTGTTGTGAGCTTGGTTTGCGCGTGTGTTGAGAATCATGAGATTTCAACATGTCAAACGTCAGAAATTAGAAGGGGCCAACACCCACGGTGCATTCTTCCAGGTCAGCTGGTGTTCTGGGCCCGAGCACGCCCAAATCCCCCCATCAGAACAATCTGGCTGAATTCCTTCATTCTGAGATGTTCGAATCTGGGGTGTTTGGAAGAATGCTTGCGTGATCCAATCCGATCCTGATGGCATTCCGCTTTAGCGCTGTGAACTTGAGCCCAAGATTCCCAAGATGATGTGAGACTCACTTGTGACCCGCCATGGTTGAGGCTAAACGTTCTTGAAGGCCAAAACAATGAAAAACATCATTTTAGTATGCTTTTGTGAAAGTAGAGGTGGGGGGCGCGGTGTAAATGAAAAAAAAAAATAATTTTCGACAGGGGGGGTAGGTCCCCCCTTAAAACGGTGGGGATATTGTGATTGTATCAATACAAAAATATGTGCTGTTTCCTTGCGGAGAATATGTTGTTTGATGTTTTCCCGGTTCCTTACCAATGTGAAATGGATCGCCTCAATTGACTCCTCCTCGTTCTTTGCCTTTCAAAAACCTCGAAGTAAAGGACTTCCTGATTTTTCTTTATCAGTTGACAAAATGTGTGTTTCTTTAATCTAGTGCTCCCCCATTGCTCCCCCAAATGGATAGTGGCACCCGTTCCACACATATGATTCTTAGTGGTGATCTATCGGGGATCTATTTGTTCTATATATTTGGGATTCGGATTTCTGAGCTTCACTGGGCTGTGACGCTTGGGTTTTGTTCGCTCCTAGCCGGCTGCCATGCGGCTTGGCCAGGCCTATGACCTCCTCAGAGCGTTGTCCAAGGGCGGCGTTCTGACCAGGCGCCACCGATCCACTGGACGTCCCGGGCGGGTCGGTGGGACCGGGTGGCGGCACCGGTTGGGGTCGCCACCGGTGTTTTTCACGGGAAGACCTGCAGAGAGAAACGTCGTTGCGTTTGTGTGTGTGTTTGTTTTTTTCAAAATTGAAAAGGGATTCAATAATTGGTGAGTGGGAGTTATTATCATGTCATATTAAATGTTGCTCTCGGTTTTTAAAGAAGAAACATTTACACTTCAAAAAGATCATTCAAACATTCCGCAGCTGGCGCCTGGTATTCGTCTCACGAACTTGATCCTCAAGCCTTGGGGGCCCGTCATACAAGTGATATCCGATATATTCCGATATACACTGAAAAGCCTCGTGTGGTACTTGGTTTTTGCTTCCTTTATGGTGACTGTTTGTTTTATGTCGGTGCATCAGCATCCCTTTCGGGGGATTACAATGATTTATTGTGTATGTTTTACCGGTTCCTGCAGCAAATCCAAGAGAAAAAACGCAGCATGTCCTGTGCTGGTTGCGCTTGCATTTGGCAACTGTGGAACGGAGTTCGCACTCGCTGGTGATGCGTGTTTCACTCCCAAAGCGACCCACGTTTCAGGGTTTTACGCAGATTTCTTATTGGTGGAGAACAAAAAACCAAACGCTTACTGTTAACCTTGCAGTACTTCCCTTGATCTACTTCTATGGTTTTTGGAGTCACTCACATGGGGCAACGCCTGTATTTTTGTGGGGTTTTCCCTTCCTTTTTCAACGTGTTTTTTTCTTGTTCACGTGCCCCATCAGGTTCACCAGTTGCGTCAAGCGCTTGATGACTCATGTGGCTGACCAGGAGGAGTTCTTAAGGCCCAGGAAGGCCGGGACCACGCATTTGATTTTTGTTTTACCTAACTTTGCTTTTGATCTAGCGATGTTGTTGTTTTCCCTATGTATGGGTAGATCCACTTCTGAATTCTGCAGATCGCATATGTTTAGTTCTTGGACGGCAAATCCAAGACGGCAAATCCAAGACCGGTGACCTGAAAAACTGCACTGATCACGCCAGACTGCAAAACGATGCGACGGTTCATCCAGAATCCTCTCATGACGCACCTGGAGCTCCAGTTCGTACCCTGGAAGATGGCCCCCTTTTTTTGATCCTACTGTACCAGCTGCTTTCAGAGTAGATGGCGCAAGTTACCCCCAATGTCGGTGGTTTGTATGGGTCCCCATCTATAAGAAATCTTGCGGGTTGTGCCATCCACTCTGAAACCACTGTAATTGTATATAGAACTCTACCCACAGACTCAGACTCAGACCGAACAACCGAACAACCAGTCAAAGCCAGACCTGGGACACGATCCATGGGACTGGAACCAAGCCCTGGTCCACCATGTAGCGCATGACCTGACCCACCATGTACCGGTAGGTCAACTGGTAAGTCTCATTTTGGCCCACAGCCACAGCCAGACCCCTCAAACCGCCCTTGGCCTGATCTGTCAACATGCCAGTCCCAGACAGGTCGTGTCAGTGAATGGCTGCTGATTCCAACCCACCCAGAACACGTGGATAAGCTGATAAGCTTCAACCGTTTTTTGGGGGAATTCATCTCCCCACTATTTACACATGACCAGGTGGAAAAAGGTTAGGCCTTAAAGATTTTCCGAAACTGAGAGAGTCAGACTTGGACTTTGGAGCATCCTTAGCTGAAGCTGATGATTTTGTTTCGAATGTTCTGAAGATTGTCGTGCTGAACCAGCCAGAGACTAGGAGTCAGGATAGTAGGTACAGCTTGACATTTGGGAGTTCTTATGAAATGGGTACAAGTACCTGTCTTTATGGGGTCATCCACATTTTCTAGGGTACGAACTGGAGGGTCGAGGTGAAACGTTTGTGCATCACTAGATCGGCCCTGATTGATGTGTCGCCCCTCCATCTGATTCCCTGACAAGCCGACGAAGCCAGGCCTCGAAGCCACAAGAAAGATCAAGAACGTGGTAAACCCCTATAGTCCATTGATCCAATGAATGAACCTGAAACCCAGTAATATGATTCCCAGTTTGATTGATCCCTCTTCTGGTAAATCAGTGGTCAAATCTGAAACTCGATTCTACTCTACCACTGATTTGACCTGACCTGTTTGTTCCCTTCTTGATTCCTTCATAGTGATTCCGGCACGTCTTCTTCGACCGAACGATCGCGCACGGACCAGTCACGGACGCGTCCCGGACGTCTCGATGCACTCGTCACGGACCGCACTCGTCAGGTCCTGACACTCTGGCGTCTCTTGGATCGGGCCGACCTCATCGACGCGGTCGAGGTGCGGGCGCCAAGGGCTTAGTGGTCGGGTCGTGGCGGACACAATGAGGTAGAGGATTGGGGGGCAGGGCAGTGGACTGGTTGGTAGGTTGGTTGTCTTGATTGGGTTTGGTTTGTTTGTTGGATGGGTTGAGTATGGTTGAGTGGTTGGTTTGGATAGAGATCCAGAAGTCTTGAGAGCTCTAGAAGTCTGGAGATTTAGAGGTCGAGGTTTTAGAGCTCTAGGTCTAGAGGTCTAGAAACCTAGAAGGTCCTAGAAGTCTCAATAAGGTCTAGAGGTCTATAGTTTGAGAGGTCTAGTTGTCAACTGTTTCTTGACATACATCTAACAATCCTTCTCAGCACGTGAAAACCATTAGCAAGGAAATAGTCCATATATATGTATGGATGTCTTCACCCCCTCCTAGACATTTCCCTCGGAACGGCAGGCTGACTTCATTTTTTCTCAAGGAGGTCCGACACTTAGCACACAAACTTTCGACATTGGTGCAACCATGCCCCAAAGCATAAGGCATTGCAAGAGTACCACTGTGGTCTCAGGCTCATTCTTCAAACGGTTCAACTCAGCATGCTCACGACGCCGACTCAGACAGCTGCAAGTCAGCAGGCTGCCGCAAACGACTCCGGAAAGACCGGGCGCAGCTTCTAAGCGCTGTAAGCATCGTTCCCACGTCCAAGGTCGCATACCTTGGGACGGTATAAGCAAAACATCAAAGCGCTCGAACTCGACATGCAAAAAAGCCAAGAAACGCGCATACGTGCCATTTGGGCTCGAAAATGCGCAAGACATATCGTATGCTTGAAATTCGGCTTTGAAACCCTCAAGCATTAGCTTACAAAGCTTCTTGGGATAAGGCTGTGTTTCCTTCCAATCAGCATCCATTAGAAGGCAATTAATTGATCCTGCGACCATCACATTTCAAGCGATCGTGTACTATCAGCATCAATCCCCAATGTCTTGATTCGTTGACTGAACACGTGGGTGGAATATAGAGCTCTCTTCCTCAGAAACTGTTTCGTTTGATTCCAACCCCAATACGCTACGAACACTACGAAATCGGCGCATTCAGGCAGCAGCCTTTGACTTTATTCGTCGTTGTCAAAGCAGCCGCCAGCATATCTCCAGATGCTTCCCCAAGCAAGCCTTCACTAGCATTGACTATCCTTGGTGTCCAAGATGTTGCCAGGCAAACAGAAGCACTCATGTGGTCAGTGGTTCTCTGTGGGTGACAAGTTCTGTCCACACTGTGGTCAAATCAACAACAACTACGACTCGGCCAAGGCAGATCTCCTCCGTGCTAGCCATCGCAAGGGTTGGCGCAAGGTAGACATTGCCCCTGCACCTGCTGAGGACGACCTGACTGAATAATCCAAGTGGAAGGCAAAGGCTGAATCGACTGCTGAGCAGGCTCCTGCAGCTTCAGCCTCTTCGAAGCCTGAGGTGCCAGCGGCCTCAAAGGCTTCTGCAGACATGCCAGCGCAAGAGAGCAGTGACGAAGAGTTTGATTTGGATGATCCGTGATGATCCGCAACAAGCAGTGCACTTCATCAGTTTGCACTGGAGCCAGGCCAGCCGCGGAGAGGCAGCGCCAGCTATCCAATTGTGGGTGGACGAACAGAAGGCAATTGCCAGCAAAAAGGAGCCACTGTCTCAGAAGCAGTTGTTGAAGAACAACACACAATGCATGGATCAACGCACAGCACACCAACCGGAACATCTGGTACGTGGCAAAGCCACAGCTGAAGCAGAAGAAGTGAGTCCAGCAAAAGCTGCAGGGATTGTGTTGGCCTGGGTTCCAGTTGATGTTTCGTTTCCATTGTGGCATTGTGGTTTGCAAGTGGCAATGCTGTGTTTTGATCGGGAAATGTTATGTTTTTGACTGTGGTGGAACTTACGTTTCCAAGGTGATCTCGGGGTTGAGTGAAACACAGTCATAAATGTTGGGGGTTGTTTATGTTTGTTTATGTTGCGTTCTCATTGGTCGAAGCTTTTGGTGTGACATCCGGGCAGCTGCTGTGGGCGGAGTTCCATGCAGAAAACATGAACCCACACAAGTTGGTGGAACTTAGTGGCTTGCCTGTATGTTTCAATCAAACTTATATACATAGTAGGTAGTATTTGGGGTTCTCCGAAATGTTATATATATACCTAGACCCTCCCGAGGCAATAATTTTTTGCCGTAGGCTGTTGAGGCAATAATTTTTGCCGTAACTCATTTTTTCTGCCGTAGCTCAATCCCTGGAAAGTGAAAACGCCGTCAGAGAAGTGAAAACGCCGTCACAAAAGAAGAATCGCCGTTTTGTTTGATCTACCAAAGAGGATATTGTTTTGGTCCGTCCATACCCTGAAATTGCCTTCTCCTTTTTCACTTGTAAGTAGAGCTCATCGTTTTCAAGCCTCATGGTAGCACTTCTCAAGATGTTGCAGCCCTTGTCTAAGGTCTCGATTGACATCACGGCAGGATTTGTTCACATTTTGATCATGCAATGGCTGAAAGGATCGCTTGTGACATGTTGTGACAAGTCTTGCTGCCACCTTGAGTGACCCTAGACAGGGTAAGGGAACGACGGCGTAAGTAGGGGGAAAACGCCGTAAGTACGGGGAAAAACGCTGTAAGTACGGGGAAAAACGCCGTACTTGCGGGTAAGAACGCCGTAACTTTAAACGCAAAATCTTCTGCAACGCCGCGCAAGAGGTCGAGTTACCCGCGAAAACCGACGAAAACCCAGCATGTGACACTTCCATCAGCTGCCCCTTTCCACTTCACATGACTATGCGAGTTTGCTGATATAATAAGACGCCTTTTACGTTCAGTTGCCTTTCAAGCAAGACCCTACAATGTTTTCATACTCGCCTGCACTAAAGCTAAAACGAAATGACTCTTTGAGGTGCATGGATGTGTGGACCAAAATTGCCGTCAACTGACCGAAACTGCCGCAGTTCATCAAGAAACGCCGTCCCCATGAGATCAATATGGAAGAACGCCGCAGAACGGAAAAAGGCGACGTTTCATGAAAACGGCAATTATTATTGCCGTAACGAAGTTCCAGGTATATATATATATAAATGTTATATATATATATATATATTTGGGTAGCGTTTTTCAACAGGTACTCGGGAGTACTATATATATCCCTATAATTCCTGGAACATCTCCAAAGTTCTCTTCCATCTATCCCCACTCTGTTGGGCGCCTCCTTTCTCAAAGGCTCCGTGCAAGCTGCCCCACGCTGCACGGCACTCGGCCACTCGTTCGCCGACTGGTGACCTGTGGGAGGCCACGTCATACTTCGAGAAGGAATTGAAATTTGCCTACAAGTTGGAGGCAGGGAAAGGATCAGGTTGGAAACATGTTTATTGGGGTTCTACTTTGGAGTCAAAAACCGAAAAACCTGAATCCTGAAATGTCGGATTAGCCGCATGGCCTTCAGGTTATATAGAGATTGGGACCTTGTCCTTGGACAGAGTGATTCAGGTCGTCCTAAGTCCTACACTTTTTTGGGCACACCCGCTAGACCACATGGCTCCCGTGGAGGTGACACTTTCCTTTTCTGTTTTCACCACGATCAAACGATGCAAATCTCAGACACTCCATATAGGACTGGTATATATATCTTGCCTACATTGGGGTGGTACCAGAGGGGCCAACTGATCGGCAATCCTATGGCAGTCCTATTTCAATCGTGTCTGGGAATGATTCTTTGTTGCCTCCGTGTCCTTTCAGTACCTCCGAGTCCAACAAACGACAGACTGGATGGTAACAAAACATGATCGTGCAGGCTCCACGCACCTTGATGTCTCAATCATGACGCTCCCTGATGTCTCATCATGCCCTAGGGATCCAGTCGTACCTTCTCAGAAGGTACGACTGGACCCTCCTGGCACCTACATAACACTGCCTCCAATCACCGTACCTGAGAAGGTACGACTGGATCCCTAGGGATGGTTACGTGGACTTCACCACTCCGGTGTTTCGACTCTCGGATTTCATGGTGAGTCTGACGAGAGGGGGCCATGCCATCTGCGTTGGCCCAGCCCATGTACTTCCAGGGAGTGAACGAACGGATGTGACCGGGGGAGTCTTATCGGGCGCTGGCGGGGCACCGGGGCACGCGGACTTGAAAGCATACCAGCTTCAAACTGAGCAAACCCATTGCAAGAAATCAGAACTTCAAACGTACCCATGCTTGGGGGAATTTCTCAGCCAGCCGGGAGAGCCACTGTGAGGGTTCATCAGGACCATGTCAACCTGAACACCTCGCTGGCAGTGAAACTGTGATGATAACAGCGGGCTGCCCCAAGTGGTTCCAGACTTGATTGCCAGTGCAGACAACTGTGCACTGACCATTTTTCCTCTACGAACAGGTGGTTTGGATTTCCACTTCCATGATGATTCCAGGGAGTACAAGTCTTCATCCATCATATATTTTGAGGAGGCTCCCTTTTGGCCTTGCTTGTTGACGTTGCTGGCTGGGTTGAAAAGGGCTGCTGATCAAAAAACATCAAGATAAGATACATACTTTACACTAGATAAGAAAGGTATAATATGCATCGCATGCAGGAGGGCCCCATTATTCGGCCATCGTTGCAGTCCATATTAGTTTGTGTCGGTCCTATGACCTGTAACAGTCGGGCAACAACTATAGCTGTAGCTATTTTAGAGAAAGGCCTTTACATGCCTTTACTAACTATCATCATCCACTGATACTGCTGGGATAGACCCAAACCATACTATATCCAAGGACAAACTTTCTCCTGCACAAAGGTCCTGAATTGCAGCAATGCCAACGGAAGAAGGCCCTATCTCCGAAGCATCACTTGGAGGGGTTGATTCTCCAGCTTCGAGAATGGAGCCTTCCAGTAGCTATATAAATATAATACAGCTTATTCATGCATATCAACAGACACCTATACCTGGACCATCCTGTCGGGGCCTCCAATAGACTACCCTTAGAGTCTCCTGCTAACCTCCATTGGACACCCCGGACTGCATGGTCCTGGTCGTCGGCGAAGCACCGTGCCAGTCGCCACCCTGGGGGCGACTTGACGGTGTGAGGGCGATTGACGGGCGGTGGAACGGGGGGAGGGCAGGGGGCTGGCGGGGCTGAAGAGACCCACGGGGCGACTCGGTGACTCCACTTGGTTTTGCTTAAGGTGTTTCTTGTTAGATGTCCCTGTGTAGGAGTGGGTGGATTACCTTCTTGGGAATGTTTTTGTTTAGATGTTTTTTAAAGTTTTGCCTGGCTCCAGAAGTCAATCCAAGTCAAGACTGAGATTTGGTTGGATGATCCAGCCTGGAAAGAGGCCCTTTTGGAGGGTCTACACTTGTTGAACCACGTGGGGTTGATCGGTGTGTAACTGAGAAGTCCAAGTAGTTTGACAGAAAACCAGGACTTCAACTATGCATGTTAGGACTTGTAGGGCTGGGTATCTGGCATTAGCTTTGAGATGCGAACAATTCCATATGGGTCCAATGAAGGTTTTCCCTTCTCAGCTGAGACGTTGAGAGTAGGGAAGTCGAGTCTCCGAGTCCCAGGGGTCTTGTGGGGAACTTTTTCACATGCTCCGAACCAGCAAGATGAGGCACCCATACAAGTTTGTTGATCCGTTTATGATGTTGAATTTCTCAGCATGTCGAGTGCAGTGATCCAGACCAAGCTCAAAAAGACCTGGGTTGTCAATTCTGGTAAGTTTATTGCTCTGGGAAGCGGCCCCTGCGGATCTCAAATCGTGATTCCATCTGAACCGGCTTTTCTACAGCATGGACAGGATTTGCATCGTCCACACCTTTGACATATATTGAGTCTAGGTCAAATTTGGGGAGCTGTGCTGCTGATGTACCCCACACACTCCACTCTCTGCTTTTTGAAAAGGTGTCAATGGATGCGACCATACATCCGGAGAGATGATCCCGAACACCTCCATGGGACTGACATATTTATTTACATACCTTGGGGTAGTTGATTTCAGCATGGAGTAGGTGAAACATTGTTAAACGGTTGCTTGCCCCGAACCTTTTCAACCACCCTTTGGCCTGATGGCTAAATATGCCAGTCCCATCGAAGAACTCCGAGTATCAGCAGTTGCAATCCCCAAGTCAAAAAAGGTGATCCCCAATTCAATGGGTCCATTACACACAAACTGATCATATGTTGATTATACAAACTGTCAGGAGAGTTGGTGATCAAATGATGCTACTCCACAAATTCTCCTGCTTTGCCGCGATGCTCCCGTGCCGTGCCGCCGCGCAAGCGCCGCGATGCTCCCCTGCCGAGGTTCGATGACCGTCCGCCGTTGGCATGTGTTTGGAAACGATTGGCGGAAGAAGGGGAGGATCAACGGGTATGTGTGTGGTGGAGTATTTTTCAGTAGGGCAAGACTAATGTAACCTAGACTCTTAGATGAACGAGATGAATAAAGCCCTGCATAATGCCATATCATGCCATATCACATTAAGAGGTTTTACAATCCAAATGGGAGAACTCTATTAATCAAGAGTCGAGAGTAAGATAGAGTAAGAAAAAGAAAGCTGCAGCTCTGTAAGTCCCCCAAATGTCATATAAAAGGGAAACAACAATCAACGTTCGGGGGGGCTATAAACCACCCGAACTGGGTGGTGCTGGCAATATGACAGAATTTCTTTGAACATTGAAGCTCTCCAATTCTACTGCAGGGACTGTTGACACTTGGGAAACCCACGGATTCGGAAGGACTCTGAAAGCCTCACTTTCCTCTGAGAGGTGGCTGCAGTGCCCACCGTTGGTCGGACCTTTCAAGTGTTATGGACGGGCCCAAGGGAAGTCTCCACGCCACGCAGTTGCTTGAGTATCCACACCAACAGGATACTCTGAGGTTTGGAAACTCTGAAGGGATCATTTTTGGAGATGAAGATAGGTAGAGAATGCAGAAAGACCAAATTATGTTGGTTTCACCCAACCACTTTAGTCGCGTTGGTAGGTTGGGAGCTTGCGTGCCCAGCCTGTTGAACCATTTTCGGTGGAGAGGCCCTGCTATTGAGCCACCATTAGTTGTAATCATAAATCATAATTCGAGGCCATCGCTAGTAGGTTGGAGGCTATCGCTATTATTTGGAGGCCATTGCCATCCTCTTCCAACGAAGGCTTGGGTGTATTGATGTGCTTTAACACTACCGGTTTCTGACTGTGTATTCCTTTTTGGCAAACAAATCTTTACTGGACCAGTAGCAGACACCTCATCATGAATGCCTTTCGAATTGTGCTCTGCTCGCAGCCGAACAGATCCCAGGCCACATCCCAAAAGGGAGGGAGGTCTGTTTCCAGACGACCAGATCGAATTTCAATTGATTCAAGCGAATTCGACCAGACCAGCGCCCGACCGGTCCCACTCGCTTCGACCAGGTCAGAGGAACTGAACCAAAGAAACTAACCAGTCGAAGCATCAACCTGGCCTCTGCGAGGATCCCTACAGTATTTCTGAAAGCTCCGTCTCTTCATTCATCACTACGAAACATGGCTCTCTCGCGACTCGCGCCACCCCGCCACCCCATCTTGCCATTTGTTGATGACAATGTAACATATGTATACCTCTTTCTATTTCCGTTCTTCTCACCACGAATCCGAGCGTGACCTGGGCGAAAAGGCTTAGCCACCCAGCGAGAGGCCCATAACCGTCCCCAATCCACCCGAGAGAAGCACAAAGAGACCGTGCGTTCAGCCGACGGTGGTTCCTAACAGCGAATCCCAGCCGTTGGATTCCAACGGTTCCATGTGCAAATGCCATGGGCGTGACGAGCGCGAAGTGCCAGAGCTGCGGCTTGGTTGAAGGGATGGATGATGGACGGGTCGGTTGTATGAGGGTCCAACGGCATCGAGCGAACATGAACGCATATATCCCAGATATATTTTCATGCGAATACAAGCTGCTACATGTGGCTGGTGGGAGGTGCGTCTGTGGCTGGTCATTTTGTGCTTACTATGGAGCGTTCCTACATGTGGGTTCCCAGCCGAACCCGGTCATGTGGCGTTCCAGCCGAACCGGTGTAGACCGGCATAGTGGATGTGTGTGTGTGTTTTCTTTTGAGGGGGAGGTTCCAATGTGTCAGGACTAGGAAAGAAGCTGAACTAAAGTACTATGCAGCATGCATTACTATATAGAGCATACATACTATACTGTATAGCGTATAGCTGCCGCATGTGCAGCTATTAGTGTTAGGGTTGCTGAGTTTAAAGGTTCAAACTCAGGCTCCAGTCTTCCCCCATGCTCCACGTAAATAGATGTGGATGCGTATGTTTAAAGGATACCCGCCTTTGATCCTTGAGAAGAAGGAAAATTGACCAATACCCATTGGTTGGAGGTCTCCCTATCTTAGCACATCCATGTAGATATTGGATAATATAGGCCGACCCTCAACTATACCTCATGACAACCACAGCTTGCATTTGGCAACAGGTCTTTTTCGTTGAGGGGTGTTGGGCCGGGCCCATGCCTAGGTTTACAGACTGGTTCTGTCGCAAGTTTCTGAATATAGGCGAGGAAGTCCTACCACCACGACCTTTCTATTGTATATATCTTTGCCCCTGCAGTTGGCCAGTATATTAAATATGTTTCACCCGCCAAGCTTCGTGGCCTCCACCATATCCCTTCTACTCAGTCCCAAGTGGTATGGTGTGGCCAAGATTGATCAGGACGCCACGAATGCGAGTCCTTGGGATTGGATGGCAGGGTTTCACGGTCATTTGTCCGGTTTCAGGTCACGTTTTCAAGCTGCCAAGAAGTTGACAAAAGCACCCAGTGAGTCTCCAAGAAATCAAGATCCTATACGCCAAAAAACGGTTATACGCTGAAAATCACTTGCACCACTGCAGACACCCCAGCTGCAGCCAGAGTGAATCTGCTGTAGAATGCTTTGGAGCAAGAGTCCTTGTTTTCAAGTGCATTTTCCAGTGAGCTTTTCAACAGACCCAGTGTGATACTCTCAATTGCCAGGAGTTGTGAAGGGGTGATTATTGGAGGGTCAACCACCTAAGTTCCATGCAACGATGCGTACTGTTTTCTTCTTCACGTCCGTGTGGTACGGAACGGCCTTGCCGCCTCCATCTGCCCTTCTGCCGAGGTGATAACTGCCGCTACAGGGATGAAGATGCCGATGGACTTCCAGGTGGATGCATGGACTCCCGAGCTACTAATTAGTAACAAGGGCATCGCTACGAACGGAGCAAGGACGCTACGAACGTAGCTCCTGGCCTTACTAGGAACAAGAAGCTACTAGGTGGAGGCCATCGCTACTAGTAACAAGGACGCTATGAGGTGGAGGCCAGGCAGTTCTCCCAGTTCTCCATGACGGGACTGGCATATATACATATATATATACTTACATTGGGGTGGTTGACCTGGGGTCAATCTACATAGGCATATAGAACATGCGTCGCATGGAGTGTTTGGGACTGGTGCAGGTTCCATGTGCCGATCTATCGCTGCTTCGACGTACAGAACTTGTGCAGAAGCGAGATCTTGAATTCTGAAAGTAAGTGGCTGACTATAACTGAATCCAAGACTTCTCTTGAAGGTGGTACTAGTCTATTACTCGGGACTTATAATCTTTGCCCCAGAAGAATCCAGAAAGATAAAAAGCACATGTGCATGGGTTGTGGAGCTTCTAGTACGTGGTGCGTGTGTTTTGGGGGCCTGCTTCTCATGAGGTTAGATCCAAGTTCATGAACAAAACACAGCCACATCAGAAACATCTCCGGATCCAACACCCATTTGCAGGTATAGTTTCAATTAGTTTCAGGTCCTATTGGAGATTCTTCCTGCTGTTGCATGACATGCTTGCACCATTGGGATTACCCACAGATCACATATAGATCACCTGGTGGTGCAAGAGTTCAACCGTCCTTCTGGCGGATCAAATGCATGTCAACTGTGAACTGCTCTGGAGCAACGGCTGCTCTTTCAATCCAGGCCAAGGCTGGTGTGAAGGAAAGAAGACAGAAAACGAGCAGCCCAGGTGCCTGCAAAAAGACATGTGGGTCGGTGGCAGTGGTCGAGGCCGATGTGGTCGTGGCTGACCCCCCTGAATGCCAGATGTTCAAAGCACAGAGCTATTCCAAGCAGCCAGAGTCCAGAGCTCAGCCGAGCAGCCAATGCAACTGGAAAACAGCGGCACCGAGTCGTTGTACGAGGATTTGGACGTAGCGTAAGCATCGAGCGTTTGGCCTCCTGGCGTGTGAAAGCTACAGAGCAGGGCATGCGCATGATCTTGGAGCGGACGGCAGAGTCTTCCTGCCGAGCATGCTACCTGCCAGCTTCCGGGTCCGGAGCTGGGTGAGTGGCGCCATGAAAGGCTTCCGCGGCATTTGCAGGTGCCCACCAACTGCTGGGAGATCCTGTCCAGATGAGGCTGATTATAAGCTGTGGAGCATTTCGGGGCCAGACTAGAGTGGGGAATTCTTCCTGTAAATTATTTTATCAGAGTGTTGCCTTGGTCATGACATCTCCTTCCTTTTGTTTTGGTTTCATCTATCTTGGGGATCCTCACATATCTTCACCCTATGGGTCCACATAGCATCTGAGAATATGATTGGAGGCTATTTATGTAGGCACCTGGGGAGGTGGCCCAATCGTACCTTCGAAGGTGGCAGTGGATCCATAGGGGTGGCAGGAAGATTTAGGCCCCTGCAACAATAACAAACACATGGAACCTCAACAACCACCCTCAGGTTGGTATTCGGAGTTAGTATTCTGACCCAAGGTCACATGCCCTACACCTCCAAGCACCTCAGAACGTATGTGGACCCTCCTGGCACCCACCCCAATCCCACTCTCACCGAAACGATACGGCCGGTGCGACCAGGTCGGTCAAGGTCCGGGTGATGTCACAGGTTCCGTCCCTGGACACACCCCACCGGGCAGGTGTGTCCATCGCCGGGCATGATCTCTCCGCCACTCCGAGTGCCTTGGGGTGTCCAACGAACGAAAGACCCGTTCTTCGCGAACTACGGGCGGCGGACCCACGGTACGGTAGGAGGGTGAGCTGAATGGAAGTCACGGTCCCGAAGCCACGACCTACTCTAATGGGACTGGCACATACAAAACGGGGTGGCTTGAGGCGTCAATGTAGGTATGAAGCACGCCAATACGTTGTAGGCGGAACTGCTGAGGTTCGGCTGGTCCCCCCCCCCGGATTTGTTTCGCACCCAGTTGCCTAGGGATCCAGTCGTACCTTCTGAGAAGGTACGACTGGATCCCTAGGGTTTATTGGCCTTCCATGGAGGTGTTAGACAGAAACCAACATCGATCCCAGAATCCCGGCCGCTTGACATGACATGGCCTTCCATGAACCTGAAGGCCTCAGTAGGCTTAGATTGAATCATTGAATGAATGGTATTGAAGGGTCATTCAAAGACTTACTCAAGCCCAACCAACTTCTGGATCACGAGGACCTTCTTCCCCCAGCCCGTGCCCACCTGGCCCTACCTGGCCTCGTCCCAGGTGTGGATAGCCCCACCCAGCGGATGTCGGACCTCTCACCGACCTCAGCGACGTCTCCGACGTCCCGCAGCCGCGTGGAGAGTGGGAACACCACCACGATGATGGAGGATGAGGTGCCCGGCCTTCTGACTCGGACGGTGCTGGGAGGTGTTTGCTTTGCTAATTAACAGAGAGGTTAAGTGACCTTATAGGACACTACAGGGGTACCTATGGGATAGCCTACAATTAGGGTCTTTCAACCTTTGTTGGAAGAAACAAAAGAAGAACGAACGCCTGACCGACTATAGTGACTCGGAACATCCCGTTTTGGAAGGGATCGTGAACAGCGTTCAACCCCTTGGTCGGACGTCGTTTCCGCTCACCGCGTGTCTGACACACTGTGACCGGGTGACCGGTCGGACCAACCAGGTTCGGAGGGCCGTGGGGGGGCCTCCGTCTTCGGAGCCCTTCGGAGCCACCAGAAAGAGAACCCAAGCCCTGAAAGAGCTGGTCTTTTCAAAGTGACTAAGACTGAGACTTAGACTGAGACTTCGTCAGGGACGTAGGTGAAAGACCTGAGGTTCGGAAGTAAGATGAGGCCTTCCTTGAGATCACTTTCTGGCAGCAAAAGTTGATCACAGATCATTGATATGCCAGAAAGTGGTGGATGGCGGTTGGATGGGGTGGCTTAGAACAGCTGGGTGGTGCTTTTCAGAAACTTCCTTGAAGATGGATTGAACTTACTGACCGCATGATATGTTTTTGGTTCGTGAGTTGAAAACACCAAGCATATACTGTAATATATATATATATATACCAACACACATTCAGAGCGTTTGGTGTACGGTCCGGGGGCAAGTTTTGCGCTTTCAACAGGTTTCACATCCTTTTCACACCTTCCTCCACTGAGACCTGTCTCAGACGGTCAGCACTCGGTCAGCACACGGTCCGAACGTGCTCTGAACGAGCACAGGCGACTGTTTGAAGGTCCCAAAGGTTTCTCAGAAGACTCGACCCCTAGGGCTCCAACCATATATCATATATCCTTCCAAGATGTGGGTAGACCCCCCAGGCACCCATCCCAACCCGACCCAAACAGCTTAGAAACGGAGGTAGGCCAGAAGTCCGAGGGGACATAAGTGCAGACTTACAATGCGTCTTAGTGGAGCCAGAGAGCTAGAGGGTTTCTGATCATATGTGAAAAGGACACAGCTGGAAGAATTCAGTGTTTTCCCTGGAGCTTCAGGTTTATTTAACCCAATCCCCATCTTTGTAGCATGTGTAGGATGGCCAGGATGCTTAGCTGGATGGGGAACTCACTCAACCTATCGGTGTGAAGAGTCCATGTCCTTCGAGGAAGAGCCGCACATAGCCACACCAAACCTCTATGGCGCAGAGCCTCGATGAGATGGATACAATATATTTACAGTTGGTTTTGCTTAAGGTGATGTTTTTTTTATGCCCAGTGGGTAAATCCCCCTGGCAGGGAAAACAAATCGAAAGCAAGTGAAAGGGACATACTGTTTCTTCCAGGATCCCTGGACAGCATATCCAAGATTTGCATTGTTCACCCGTCCTCTTGGGTCGATGGTGAACATCAAAACAGATCGACGATCCCGCAATCACTGGCCCTAGCGCGTTTTAGACCAGTGCTTCACACTGGTCGAGAGAGGGATCCTTTTTAGCAGACCCAGCAGGTCCCAAGCGACCGGTCAGGATGTGGACTGGCTGCAGCGTGTGTGGGGACGCCCAGTGGTGGGCCAGGCGAACGCGACCTTGCGACGTTGCACGGTTCAAGTTTGGAGGTCGGAAGCTGATGAAGAGATGTGAAGAACCTTGACCAAAGCCTGGAACTTGTAGGTCATGGTGTTGAAAAGCCGCCAACGGTCTATCCTGGATCCCACCGAAGGCACTCAATTCGTCGTCCCCCCGCGGTAGTGTCCGGCCGAAGTCTGCGTCCCCTATAGGACGCAGGCTGTGGGCGCGAAGAACGCCAGCGAGAGAGACCAGCTCTCCAAGGAGTTGGGAGGCGTCGCGGCACTGGGATGTGGCTGCCCGAGTGGGCCAGGATCGCCGTCGGATGGAAGGATCCCAGATTGGGACCCTGCAAGGGGTGTCTATGTCCATAGCCTCTTAGAGGACAAGGCGTCCAATACCACCAGGCTTGGAAGGTCATTTTACCCCGTCTACTTAGCTGCCTGGTTACTTACGTTTTGTGCGTTCGAACCTTGCGTTTTTAGAACTCACGTTTCAAGCCGTAGGTTCCCACGTTTTGGAGCTCAGATGCGTTTTTGGAACTTCCTCATGCGTAAACAGAAGAAGGCCATCGAACACAGAAACATCCCAAATGCATTTTCAAGAGCCAGAAAAACGCCTCCAGTAGCACCCCATAGCCCTATAGCTTGGACACAAACAATTCCCAAATGTATTTCCAAGAGTGAGAGAAAAGCATCCAGCAGTACCCCATAGTTATTTGTTTGAAAGACACATATATTTCCGCAAAGTGGACCTCCACTGTAAGATGTTCTGGGCCGGGTTGCGTTGTTTCTTTCTAAGGCGTAGAGTGGCTTCCCATTCAGAGTCTGCGGCTTTCGGGGGCGAGTTCGACCGACTGATTTCGTTCGGCCTCGTTTCGGCTCGTCGTTCGCCTCGTTTATCAAACAAGAATGCCCTACCTACAAGAGTGTTGTACAAGTTCACCAGAATGTCTCACAAGCGTGCCTACTGGGGTCCCAGAAGAGTCCAGAAGAGTGTCCCACAAGAGTGTCCTCTTTGCAAGAGCGTCCTACAAGAGTGTTGCATATACAATGTAGCACATACAATGTAGCACATACAATGTATATAGACCAAAACGGAAAACAACCGGACCAACAAAGAAAGAAACAGATAGAACAGGATCTAAGAAACAAACAATATCAACCAAAATATTCCCTACTCCGCTGGTTCCTTGGTCTCCCCGCTCCGCTGGTGCCTTGCGTTTTTATGGTCGCCGCTGGTCCCCCTGTTCCGCTGGTCTTCTTCTTGGTTACTCCTCGGGTTTCTTCTCCTTTGGCATCAATCAATGGTCATTGGGGTGTTTGTTGCGCGTTCTGCGACAAAGCGCTGCGGAATGATTGTGTTTGGAAATATGGATTTGACATTTGTCAAATCATGCAGCCGCAAATTGGCTTGTGCCTTTTGCTCGCTTTAGGCCCCCCACCTCCCCCTCTCAAGCACTAGGAAATCTGCGTGATATGTTGCAAATGCCTTGCGCTTGCCACGGAAAACCGGAATGTTTTGAGGTCAACCCACCATATACACCCAAACAACATACAACATGGCCTTGGTTCGCCCTGGCAGGGAGGCGCCAGAAACATCCCAAGCCTCAACTCTCCTCCAGCGCCAGAAATCTGGAGCACTTCTTCCAAAGCATCGCGCCTGCCACAAAAACAGATTCTTCCAAGGTCGGCACACTGCATGCCTTCTGCAGTACATCGTGTACATAGAACTATTGCCTTTATACATACAGTATATATATATATATTGTTTGGTTTCTTTGCTTGCCTGGTCCTTTCGTTGCCCTGCTGCCCTTTTCCTTTGTCATTGGAGGACTTATGGGGGTAACAATCAATTGGAATTCGCAAAACGCCTTTGGAATGCCGTTTGTGTGTGTGATTTTGGCATCTCAGATGCCATCTAGCAAAGCCAGTCTCATCCAAGGACAACAAGTTGATGGCATCCAGCAATTCTCATTACGAACCATTTCTACAAGAATGCATCAATCAAACCATATTAAACCTCAATGATACCCACGAGTGGAGATGCAAAGGGGTATCCTGGGCCCCATTTGCGGCTTGCAGTGAACTGCCTCTTCTTTTGCTGGCGCACCAAGCTTCTCTGCAGGAAGGAACATGAGAGCCCATTCATATGGTAGTGCACGTTTGAGAGCAAACACGCAAGAGCACACATGCACCGAACATTAAGCAGCAATCAATCGCAATTTGATGTTCACAAAGTCTGTCCCTGAAAGGAGTGCATATACAGCAAATATCAGCAAATACGTTGCTTGACACGAGATTTGCTGGAGATTCACAAATGCTGTGCCTGCTGCAAAATTTTTACATCGAGGTCAACATAGCGATGTGCCTTCCGCAAAGTTTTGACATCAAGGTCCACCAAGTGCTGCGTTTGCCGCAAAATCTTCATGTCGAGGTCCTCCAACAACCTGTGCCCACCACAAAATTTACATTTGCACATTAAGGTTCACAAAACGCCATGTTTCCTGCAAAAATGCAACGGGAATATGTTTGTTGGATCCTGTTCTATTGTGTTTTTAGATCCTTTGGATCATCCATTATACTTTTATCCATCACCCGTTCTGGAGGGTTCTTGGTGATCTTAAAATGGCTCTGGGTCAAGGCCGGGACACCCTGGGTTGACCACTGAGAATGAATAGAATAGACTACCTGGCAGGTCAACCTACCAGGGTGAGTTCCAGGCTCCGGGTCCCATGGTCCAGGCTGGGGTCACCTATTGAGTATCCCTGTTGGAGGTGCCTTCCACTTTCCTGTGAGGCACCATCAACTTGATGTTGGATGTGGAGCAAGAGGCCCGATAACGGGTGGAGCAGTGTTTTGTTCTCACACAAAAGGTGGGGCCGTTCGGCTGCTGGATGTTTTTGGTTGGTTGCACAGCCAGTTCACCCGATTGGTTTACCAGTTTGACAGCGGTTGACCGAGCATCATGGTCAATGTGTCGGCCTTTCTCGTTCTGGTAAAACGGTTGTTAACGGCACTGGTGGGCATGAGGGGAACTAGGGAGCTTTGGAGCCTCGGAGAGGTTTGTGTTTTATGTTGTACCTTTGCTTGGTTGGTGCATACCCAGCCTCGGAGGTTTATCGTCCCATTTCTCTTGACGGTTGACTGGTGCAAACCATTTCCATGTAAGGTTTTCGGGATTGTTATAAGTCAAAAGATGTTCTAAGGTTAATCCTGTATTTTAGAGTTGCTAAACTTGCAGATAATACCTCAGGCATACACCAGCCGAATACGATTTAGCTGGGCTTCTAGTATTTGGCCAGATGCAAAGAAACAATGAATTGAAATGAATTGAAGTCCTCCAAATTGGATTCTTTGTTCCTCCCATCTCACTTCAGATGCTTTTTGTATGTTCTATTCTTGGTTGAAGAATCCATCTCGTGGTCTGCCCTTGGCCGCTCCACCCATCCACCCCGGCTGCGTTCTGCACCATCCAACTGGGCGTGCGGCAGTTCACCCGGCTTCTCCAGGAGCTGAACCGAGAGGAGTTGAGGGTGGAGCGCATCAGCCGCCGAATCTCCCGAAAGCAGGCGACGACGACTCTTCCCGCGCGGAAGCGGTTCCGACTCGGACGACTCCGCGACGTGCCACGATGCAGGTGTGCGATGCGGTGGGGAAAAACCCACCGGCGAAGCGTTGGTCAACAGCGCGCGCGGTGAAACCAACGACCTGGTGGTGGGGTCCGGGGTCAGGGCATTTGCACATGTGTGTGGAGACACCCAGGGGGCGGTTGTGGAGATGCGTGGGGGCACCTATTTTTTAAGAGGGGGAGAGGAAGGGCGCACAGTTGGGAGTCTAGTTTCACCCAGGCCAGAGGTGTTTTTATGGCTCGGGCTTGAAGTGGGTGAATTTGTTCCCAGTTCGACAGCAAACCTAAGGAGGTGGCGCTGAGTTTTGCGAGGTTGGAAGGTGATTGAATTGAGGCCAGTCCGACCGAAAATCATCAAAAAATCAATGACGGCTGTGACACAGTCAGACGTAGGCTGTCACTAGGTCAAATGTTGCTTGTTGCAGGTTTGGATTGATGAGTTGATGATCACGTGCATTAATTGATGGTCCTTGTAAATAAATGTCTCGATGTTTCTTTCGCCACACAAACCGAAACAGACCCTCAGTTCACCCGTCTACGACCTCGTCAGTTCTCGCGTGGTGTGTTCGGGGAAACACCTGCGTCCTCCGTCCCAGCCGATCCGCTGGAAAACGCCGTCTCAGCCGATCGATGCCGGAGGTGAATGACTCCAAGTTGAGGACCTCCGCCGCCACCGCGGAGAAGATGGTCCGGAGCAGTATCCATCAGCTCAAGGAGCGCGCTTTCGCTCGCGGATGAGACCGAGCCGGATACGGAAAGATGGGGGGCCGTTGAAGACTTGAGGTCAACATCTACAATATGCAAGGCACTAGAACAGTTTGGTGGAACAGCTGCTTGTGGTTGGCTGGTTGTTGAAGATATTTGTGATATGGCTTTAAAAAGCTTTAAAACCTTCAATCTTAAATTGAAATAAATTGAACACTAAGCTGTGGTTGAACGAGCTTGAAACCACCAGTCCGGCAGCTCCACAGACTGGGTGTACCATTGGAGGACTGCAATGGAATCCACAGACTTGGACTGATGGGGTTCTAAGAACCGACACCTCTCGGAACTCCTTTCTTTTCTCCGTTGAGCTTGGGTCATTAGACGCACGCACAGCCTTTGACTGTTGGTCATTAGACGCACGCACAGCCTTTGACTGTTGGATTCAAGGTTTTGGTTTGGAGGCCTATGAACATGCAGTTATTGAACTGATTTGTGGGACATGAAAACCGCAGCGCCGGCACTGGTCATCACAGATGATGTTTTGCCGAAAGAGTTGGAAGCAGACGCTGAAGACCACCCTGTGGAAGGGGTAGACGACTCAAGAAGAGTTTGTCTTGCTGATTGGTTCACTGTCACTGCCATTGATACCCATTTCAAGGTCACCTAAGCGGCCTCAGCCGCCTCAGCCCTGTAAAAGCTGACGCGAGTTTGTTTGTCTCAATGTTGTAGGTGGCTAGCAATCCGTGTACGGAATATCTATTGGAGTGATGTTAAGATGTCTTAAGAGTGAATGTCCATACTCTATGGATCCACTGCCACCTTCTCAGAAGGTACAACTGGGCCACCTCCCCAGATGCCTACAGTCTCCCTGCTCACCGTACCTCAGGTTCGGGAAGTGGATCCACAGAAATCATAGATGGATGATCTGCATTTTCTGGACCACCTCCACACCACGCAGGACTTAGACCCCGAGGCGCTCAAGGCGGAGGTCGACCGCTTGAACGAGGCGTGTCGGACGTGACGCGTAGATGTCGTCGTGGGGTGAATTTGATTTGGACATTGGAGTTGTTGTTTTTAAAATCATATAGATACCAGTAGAAAAGTAAATTAAATGTATTGGAAAGTGGTTCTAAGTTCTATTTGTTTGGGGATCACTATAGCATGTATTATGTGTTCCCTGCCTTTGAAAACCCCTGGCTACAACAGTGAAAGGGTGACAGCATGTGACAAGAGCACATGTGACACTGCTTTTCATGGACGAATTGGCATCGGCCTTGAGCAGCATACAGGAAAAGGGCACAATCCTTAATTCCTATGGCCAATCTATAACAATTCCAGTAGATTTGCACCCAGATTTGATGACTTTGGTAAAGCTTCACCCAGATCTGCAATGAAGCGTCTGTGGGTTGAGGGAAGACCTGGACATGTCGTTTCTGGACTGTCATCAAGCCCCGACGGTGAAACAAGGTCAAACATCTCCAGACTTGGGGAAATGGTTCTTCAATCCTTAATGATATTATGCAGGGGGTTAGCCCCCCTACAAGATCATTTTCTAGTGGACTGCACTGGGATAACCCTTCTGATTGATGGAGGATGGAGGAGGTGGCTTCGGGAGGTAGGCTGTGGTAGGACCTGGTGGGTGTTACTGCTTGTTGCTGCTGTCTCTGCTTCTGCGGGGCAGGTCTACTTTGCATCAATCAGGGGGGTGCATTCGCCTTTTGTAGCTCTCTGCGGCCTTGGACCCCTCCAAATGGTATAATCTTCCAGGTCCGTGGTCCCTCTCTACAAAATGGCTCCAAAACCTTTAGGGGTCATTTTGTAGAGATGGCTCTTGGTGTCAATTCGTCGTGAAATCGTCTAGTCTAGGGACCCCGACCGGGCCCCGACCCCGTGTGGTAAAGATCAACGGGGATGTCACCTCTTGACCCCCCACCTCTGAACGTCGCAACTTCGCGACGAGCTTGGTCCGACAGGCTGGTTTGGACACCTTCTTCCCCCAAATTCCATGGCAAACCATCATCATTCGCTGGCAAGCCACTTAGTCTTTTCGGACATCCAGACGTGTCCGGGCCGTTTTGCCATCGGGACGCCGTGTTCCTTGTCACCTTGGGACCTCGTGAATTTCCCCATGGGATCCATTCGCTCCACCCGGCCGCAGGCGGAGAGTAGCCCCGTCTCCGAGGTCGCCTCGGCCGCCTCGGGCCCCGAGAGCGCCCTGGAGGCCGGGCCAGGTGGTTCGGTCGGTGTGGAGCCGTCTGGGGTGGAGCAGTGAAACAGCTGGAGCGGTCGCCTGGAGCAGTCTTCTTTTTCGGAATGGCAGGGGTTGGAGTTCCAGTGCTTCTTTGGTTCTGTAAATGGGGTAGGTGTGACTTTCCCGAACTGGGTCAATTAGCTGGCATGGGGAATCATGTTTATTAGCTTATATATACTGTATATATATATATTACTTTTGACTTGTTAGTTGACATCACATCCAGACCGGGCTGTCACTTCGATTCCCGTTGTGTTTTTGCTCGTGTCCATCGAAACCAAACTGACAAGGGCCTCATGATCACTTCAAAATGGCAACTCATGCGGAACAGATATTTTTCCAACGTCACCGTGGAGTTGTTGGATGTTTCTTCCCAGTCTAAGCCTGGAGTTGACCCGTGAAAGTCTCTCGGAAAATGGGTCCACGTAGATTTGTAGTATTTTGTTTTTTTTTGGGGGGGTTATGCCCCTAGTTTGGGGTCCAACCACCTTCTGAGGATATGGTTGGAGCCCTAGGGTGTTACATGTTCCATTTTATAAGTGTTCTTTTGGAAGGTCCAGGACGGAATCGGAATTCAAGGTCAAGACACTTGGGCTCCTGCCGAAGTGTTGAGCTTCAGGCTTCAGACTGAGGTGTCTTCCCCAGACTTCCCCACCTTTATTCAGCCGCTCCGTGCCACAAAGCACCACAACTCGTGGCCCTGTGAGGACAATGCCTCCACGCCCGACAACGAAAAGCAGCGGCTCTCATTGCAGAAGAATATCACCAAGGCCATTGTGACTTGGCCATCTTAGCGTCACGTCGGTCTCTTCATCATGTTACCCTAAGAACATCACGATCATAGAAATATACCTGTTCTTCCCTCCATGCAATGCTTCTTTAATTTGGGGCTTGCCTGGCTTGCCTTGTTCAAAATGCATGTTGATTGTGACAGGTTTCACTTTCTGGTGTTCTTTTTGATGGCCCTTGGTTTAGTGTTTTCTTGATTGCATCAAGTATACTGCTTACTGCTTTCAATCGGCTTTGTAACAGGCTAGCGAACTTTGGGTGGCCAGTGCCCATGTGTGTGTGTGTGTGTGTTTACACGTTCCACATTTTTAGGATGTAGAGTTGTGCAATTTCTGAAGAAACATGTAAACTGTATAGCTGACTGGATCATGTTCGGGTGATCTACGTCAGGTGGTTAATCATACTGTTGACTCATGATCCAACAGCATATCGATTTTCATTTCTTTGGACAACTCTGTCGAACCCCCTCTACCAAGATCCACAAAAGGTGGTTGATGGACACCCCTTTATAAAATGTAAAAGGGCCTATTGATAGACACCCCGAAACGGGGGCCCTGGTCATGGGTAACTGGTCTACCCTAGGGCTCCAACTATATCCTCAACAGGTGGTTAGACCACCCACACCCCCTACCCCTGGCCCACCGAACCGAAACGGAGGTGGGCCAGGAGCCCTAGGGCTAGTACACTCCCTGGAATGAGCCTGGCCGTGGATGGCCCCCGAGTTCGGATGACCATGGGTCTTCCGTTTCGACCAAACTGATGAAGTGAACCATAACCATGCATCACTCCAGGGTCAAAACGTTGTACCTGGGGGAGTTCCCCTTATTGCACCCACCATATATATATATATAAGAATTGCATCACTGCAACAACAGTATTCCAGCGACTCTGTTCCTTCTTTGGACCATCTTTCTTCCGCCAAACACCGTTTCCATCCGAGGCCTTTGACCATGGAGCCATCCAGATGTCGGAACGAGACACCGAGGATCACCTGCTGCTTTTTGGGACTGTTGGGTGGTCGGCAAGGATCACCTGCAATTCTTGGGGCAGGCAAAAATTGGGGTTGGGTTTGTCCCAGTAAACCTGGAAAGTCGGAAGGGTTTCACAAGAACATCACCTTTTTAAAGACCCCTAGGGCTCCAACTAGCTCCGTTTCGAAGGTGGTTGGGGTGGGTGGGTTTGGGGGTCAAAACCTTGTGAGGAGATGGGCCAGGAGCCCTAGGGAATGGATGTCGGCCTTCAACTCCATCCACTGGGTCCAGAGAACGGAATAGACCCGAGGAAGAACCATGGCTACCTTTCCCTCAAAAGGCTTCCCAACACCTCCCCAGTAGGGACAGAGCCTTCAACCCCAAAGACCGGTGACCCGCAAGATCGAAGCTTGGAGCGTTGGGTGGTACCTCCCCATCAAACCATCACCGCTTGGTATACCTCTGATATTAAAGATTGATTGGCGATGTTTATTCTGGGTTGGCTTCCTGCAGATTTCCAGCTACCCTTGGGAAGATTGGGCCATTTTATCTTCCACGATCCTTCCGTTTTCGTGCGAATAGAAAAGCTCTCGAATCTCTCGAAGGGTTTTCTGGCGTGACAGACCGGGAATCCTGGCGTGACAGACCGGGCGGAATCTTGTCCGCTGTTTCTTGAGACCCACTTCCGCCGTTTCAGAGATAGCTTTCCGCCGTTTCTGTGGGATGATCCGGATGGCCTGATGTGGGATTCCCTTTCATCTGACTGGTGCAACTTGTAGAGGACCAGGGAATGGCCCCTCGCATTTATATAATATACCTTGGTGTCCAGCCACCCTCCTTCCTTTCTTGTGCTGAGTAGTTTACAATACATTGTTATTTTTTCAAGCGCCATGTTCTTCAGCCTAAATCAAGAAGGAGTCGCACCAGTTTGTAATATATATATATACCTAGAACCTGATTGACCCCTGTTTTGGAGACAAAACATTGTCTCTTCCTATCAACACAGGTATATACCTATGGAAACCGTAGGGGTGCAAACTACTTAGGTCACCTCCAAAAACTTACTTTTCAACTATATAGTCTTGCTTGAAACGGCGTAAATCTGGCGAGGCGGAAGGTTTTGGTTTTTATGGTTTTGATGAAGATTGTGCGGTTGAGAAGTTAGGGCTTCAAGCTAAGAGAACACATCTATCAAACGCCAGGTTGGAAACCCTTTGTGGACGATGTTTCAAAACGTGTCATGTTTGAAACGGCGTAATTTCCCAACCAAACGGCGTAAATTCCCAACCAAACGGCATATTTGTTCTAGTGCTTTTTTGGAGGGTTTGCAAATAATTAGCTTGAAGGCCTTCCTGCGCATATTCGGCGAGCTTCCAAGAGAACACATCTATCCCACAGGCCTAAAATAGGCAACCCGCTGAAACGCAAGTTTTTTGGAAACGGCAGAAATTCTTCAAGCGGATGACATTTATTGAGGCTGATGAGGCGGAAGACATTGTGTACCAGTTGCGTCTCTAGTTATATAATATATATTACTATACCAGCACCTTCATGTCAGGGTCACCGGAAGCCCCAGCCCACTACTTAGGGATCTCCATTAAACACCCCTTTGAAGGTAGGCTTTCCCCTGCAACGGACCAGCTCGGGAGGACCGCACCCGGGTCTTCCGGAAAAACCTGCGGCGCACCGCGTCCAATTTGAGCGTGCCTTGGGACGACGACGACACCGTGGTGAGAGACGCGGTGGGGACGGGAGAGACGCGGTCTACGAGGCGATATCCATTGTGGATATGTGAGGTTCTGATGATGGATGAAAGGATTCCTTTCGGCATGTGGATGCTAAGAACTTCTTTCACCATGTGAGTTCGAGACTGGTAAAGGTCTGACTGGGCCCGACCCAGGTGCCTACATCAATAGTCTCCTTCCTCACCGCACCTCAGGTTTGGTATTTGGATCCATAGGGAAGTACCAAAGGACTGGTTCTTGGAATGCTCAAGTTGGTTCAGATTTATGTGTTTCCATGATTTTAGTGGGACGGTCACACCGATGTTTTTGATGGTGTGCAGTATTTGTGGTGCAGTGGTTTCAGAGTATATATATAGATGGCACAATCCCCAATGTCGGTGGTTTATATGGACCCCCATCTAAAGTTTAATGGGTGGAACATGTTTTCCCCCTAGTACTCCACGATGTGGAAGGGCTGTGAGGGGTTGGGATCGCCACTGCACGTTGAGTTTGGGGTGGGTGGGTAGGTGGTGGGTGGGGTTTGGTCGAACATAGCACCCGCTTTCATGGATTTTCTGGTTACTGGACTCTTGTTTGACTGCATGGAGCTTCCTGTTCTTGCCACCTGTTTCCGCTTGGAGCATGACTATGTGGTTTCCGCTTCCTATGCCAAGACTGCACCAGACATAGAACGGAGATATCGATCATGTGCAGTGTCTTCACGTACATGAATGACGATGAGAGGAGAGCACCATCGCAGATGGTCTTGACAAACCTCGCCAAGAACATCACCATTTTGCAGAGGACGTCCTCCATCATGTTTTCTGAATTGGCTGAAGTGCCAAAAGAGCTCGACTGGTGCATCTGGGAGTCTACGCGAGTCTACGCATAACCTCCAGTGGAATCGCGAAGGACAGTTACAGCTGTATGGCTCGAGCCTATCCAAGGAATTCTCTGGTGGCTATCACGAGATCATGTACGCACGTGGCCAAACGTCAGCGTATGAGAACAATATGCAAATGACAATGACTGGTGCCAAATTGATATGAAATTATGAAATGCTGTCATTTTTTGGCCATGAACGGAGCCTATCTGAGATTGGCGTCACGTGACCTATCTGGGAGGCTGCCGCGCAGTAGCCGCTAAGTGGCCTTCAGGATTCGTTCCACGGTTCACTGGACTTAACAGGGAACAAGCCTTCCAGGGAGCAAGCCAGCACAAGGGAGCAAGTGGAAGGTCATTCCTGATGTGGAGTGTCACGTAGTTTTCCATTTGGTTGCACAACAGCTTGCATCCAGAGGACATGATCAATGTCGCTGATTTGCTCCGCAGTGGCCAAATGAGCCTCACTTGGGAGAGAGCCCAGCGCTCACTGCGAGAGGATGCTTACGGAAAGCTTTGCCAAATATCCAGAGATTGCAATGTGGAATGCGTGTCACATCAGTTGATGAGGACGCTGGCATTCCACTGGAAATAATTATGGACAACTGGTTAATACATTCAAGCTGCAGACAGAGGGAAGTCTTTGGCCGTGATTGAATGACTCCCTCGCCAAGATCCTTGCAAATTCTGGACATTGTGGAACCATGTGGAACGAATCAAATACACTTGTGTTTAAAGCTCTAATGGATGAGGGCACGCTCTTGAAGGGCACCATGCTCTTGTTTGTCGGACAGGTTTTGCTCCGATCAAGAAAGCCGGTTTGGGATGAGGGTCAGGATTCCGAAACATGATATCCAACACAACAACTTGGTGCGAAATGGAGGGACATGGAGAGCTTCCGAAAAAGAAAGTCCGACTTGGATTCATTCCACCTTACCAAGCACTATAGTCTCAAGACGGATACAGTGGTTTCAGAGTAGATGGCACAAACCCCTACATGTCCTTTAGATGGGGGTTCATATAAACCACCTTTCGGGGATTGTGCCATCTACTCTGAACCCACTGTATGATCCACAGCATGGCAGCCATGCAACCTGGGAGTATTTCGCAAGGAAACAGGCCATTGAGGCGGACCAACAGGCTAGGCTGGTCTACAGTGCAGCATGCTGTTTCAATGTGGGTGATGTTGGAAAGATTCTGGGTCTCTGTAGCAGCAAGCCAGGCAGCATGGGGATTTGCAACGTGTGCCAAGATGTCACAATGATGTAGCCTTTGCAGTCACTCAGCTCTGAATTTCGTCCCGTGTTGCTAGCGAGAATCATATCTTCTCAGTGACAGGTTGACATCAACCACGAGAGATGAAAAGTATGAGACCCTTTCCTCCTCTGCAAGCAACTAAACTTCTTAAGCAAAAACACGTCCCAAGACATCCAACGACCATTAAAGAGCCCAACAAACGTACGACACCAGCGCAACCTATGTTGGATGCTTTTTTGGATAGGAAATACATCAGTCACAAGGTTCTTTCCATCAAACACCCGAACAGGGTAGCGCTGGTAGTTTCAAAGACCTTGTGTTGCTGAAGTTGATCATGCAAAACCACTCCTCAAGCTATATAAGTTGAAAGTTGGATCATTTGTGTTTGCTGGGCAGGTCAGACTGGACGTCTCCCTAAACAAAGAAGTCCCCAAACCACCGGGGCAGCGTGGCTCCACGCTCAGTTGATGTCCACCTTGGGCCGAGACGTCTCGGCGCGGGGTCTCAGGTTTCGGGGCGAGGCGTTCAAAACGTGTGAATGACTAGCCAGACACTCCCAGGGGACCTGGTCCACTGGTGTGACTACATTCGGGTGGACACTCTCAGTCAGATCTCTGGCTTTGGGGTCTAAAGGTAGTTGCCGCCCACAAATTTACACGGGTGGAAAAGGCTTTGACCGTTCTTTTTCAAACTGAGCGGTGTCACGACTTCAAAAGAAGCTGGATCTCCAACTTCCTTGTGGACGACGTGATCGCTCGTACTGGCCCTTGCGTTGCGTCCGCGTCACCCGCGTCACCTGCGTCACCTGCGTCACCTGCGTCCTGATCTGTCGGTGGAAGGACGATATGGTCACCTCCCTGTGCGTTACAACACCAAAGGATGGGGGGAAGGAAGGGTCAGGGTGGATGGATGGGCTCACAGTGACAGACCCAAGCAAGCGTTTGCTCGCAAAACTGGCAAATACCCTCGGCTGCAAGGCTGCAATTTGGGCTGAAGACTAGGCAGCCGTTGGACCAATGGAAGCCACATTTGCAGGCATGTTAATGGGATTTGTTGGGAAAGTGCCAGCCTTTCAACAGGACGGATTCGATTCCCTTGAACAGCCTGAACACATCCTCTTTCCAACAAGTGTGTGGCGCTTAGCCCAGCCTGAGCGGCTTTCGTCCTTCATGACTCAGGAAAGGCTGAAGATCATCGTGGAGAACCCTCGAGCTGCTGGGTGAAATCGGGGGCGGCCCGAGCATCAGAATTGAGTGTGCCGTGCCCTAGGGTTCCAACCATATCCTCAGAAGGTGGTTGGACCCCAAAAATCCACACCAACCACCTTCTCAGTTGGTGGTTGGAGCCCTAGGGGTGTATGTTTAGCCCTAGAACTCCTCCTCGAAGTGGTTCGGGCCAGGGCCGTCGAACTACCTTCTGAGGATGTGGGACAGGAGCTCTAGGCTAGATCCACCGCAGACATCAACTAAAAATCCCACTGGGCCCGGTGGGGTATCACTATTGACAATTGAGAGACCAGATACTGCCTGCATGGAGTTTACCTGTGCTATCCTGTATTGATCCTTGAACCCATGAATGAACAACCGTTTGCAGAGGGGGTACGTTTCCTGGAGTGTTTTTGGATTGAGAGGGATCCACTACAAGCCCAATGTGAACCGCCTTCTAATATGCAGCCAGACGCTCGAAACAGCCCTTGGTCCCTCAACACCTGTAGGCCTTTGGGGATTTGAGACCAGAACCCTCCATATGAGGGTGAGCACCGTGTAAATTAATTGATTCTTGGATGGAGGAGGGAAGCCCGTTCCTGCCCCAAGCAAGTTCGAGAACTGGAGGAAACCGTTTTCAGGGACACCATCACCAGAGGTCTAAATGGATGGGTACTAAATCCATTAACATCGAGTCGATTTCACAAGAGAACAGACACCATCCACGTTGAGTTGGTTCCCAGCTGCCGATTGATTTCCCCTTCAACCGGGTTGACCTTCAGTGGGACTGGGTGCCAGGAGGGTATAGGACACTAGACTGTGAAAAACAAAACGGTGTCCAAAACACTTTTCGTGGTGATCTACCATTTTCTATCTAATTGGGGGTCTATATCGTCAGAGGGGTCATACATACCTGTCCGACCAGTCGACTGGGGAGTGCAGACGCGGCGACGCGACCCGTGACTGGGACTTGAGGGACTTGGAGGGGTTTGGGGGTTCTCACCAATCCCTATCCCTAGGCCTTCTGAGGAGGGTCCAAATACCTTCTGAGGAGGTACTTGGAGGTGTAGGGTATAGGTTTTGAGGGACCTGGAAAGGGCTCTGTTTCACGGAGCTGCGCTTGGGCCGTGTGTTCCACCGAGTAGGCAGTCCTTCCACCGCGGCTGAGGAGATCAATGCCTTTTACGAGATGGACCAGCATGACCTCGGCCGAGGCCTGCGATTTCATACGTGGTGGTGGTTTTTGGCTCTCCCGGAAAACGGAAAGCGGGGCGGAGGTTGGGGAGGGGGGCCGTTTGCTTCTGACGAGCCAAGAGCAAGGCCATACCAGAAAGTGGCCGAATTCAAGAATGATGTGCGCTGATGTATCATAGTCAAAGTTTTGGACTACTGTAACAAAAACATGCATACAAAAACCATATAAAGTTGCATATGCTCAGCCAAGGAATACAGTGCGGTCCTTAATACCACTTATAACTTAGATTGCCTTTCTGGGTTTCGGATTGCCTTTCTGGATAATGCCACTTCTCACCTTCAATATTCACGTTGTTTCTTTGACTTTGTTATAGTTCTTGGGCCCAAAGAATTCTTCGGGTTGGGCACACAACAGTGATTGTAAATTGTAAAGCCTATAGAAGCCATATTTATTGACCCCCAAATAGATAGAACAGGAAAATCCCATTCTAAATGTATTGGCAACCATGCCACTGTCTATTTGGGGACCACTATAGACCATACTGACAAATGTTGCTTTGGTTCCCACATCGAAGTGGATCGTCTTGGATCCGCTCCTGTCTCGTTTTGTCTCTTTTCTCCTCCCAGGTAGCTACGGAGCAGTAAAGCGGGCCAAGGCAGGGCCCGCAGGGCGGCGCCAGTGCTCGGCACAGTGCTCGGCAGGGGTTGTGGGCCCCTCAAAAGACCTCCTCAGGTTCGGTATGACTGGACCCTCCAAAGCCACCCCAAACACCTTCGAAACGAAGGTACGACTGGAGCACTAGGGCAACTAACTGGCAGGATGCTCATGTTTTTTGCGTTTTGTGCCAACTCAGTTGGTGGAGAGAGCTTTCAACATTGATCATTCGCGGGTAAGAACTTTCAACGCGTATGAGGTCATGAGGTCAATGCTTTTTGTTCAGGTCATTCACGCCAGGTCAGTTTGAGGGTCAACATCCTGAGAGAGAGAGAGAGAGAGACGCAATCAGCCGTGATACATGAAACATCCATGCTGCTGCCGCTGCTTGTGCTCTGTGCCGCTGCTGCCGATCCTCCTGATCCAAGCCTCGTGCTGGAAGGGGGCACTTGATCTTTGCTATCCACCAAGATCGATCGTAGCACTGTGCTGATAGTGATAGCCCCTTCGTTTGTAGTGTGCAAGTCATACAGAATAGCTTGTAAAGCAGGGCATCAACCTCCCATCAAGCCCTCTTGGGGAAGGTCTTTGTTTGGAAAAAAACAACAGCACCCCTAAGTCTTCTGAACACTTGTGCTGACATCTGCACCTGACCAAAACAAGTTTACCAGCCTTGCCAGGTGAAAGGTACTGGTGCCACGCGTGCTGTGAAGGTCATCGGCAAGGACCGGCGCCTTGGCGCCGAAGGACCGTCGGGACCGGACCGGACCGGTGACGCCCGTCATACGAAGTCCAAGGGAGGACACTCCCAGTTTTTTCCCGAATGCGTAGCGAAGGGTTCCCGTTTATAGTTGGGGGTCTGGGGGTTGGTTCCATCTTGTTTTTTTTTTTTCCCAAGGGTTTGAAGGCAGCGGGAGCTGGTTCGCAGCTTGCTGCAACAATGGGGAGGTAGCTGCTGTTTGCATTGGATTGGGTGCCAACCAATTGGTGTTGGGTGCCTCGGTTGTTATTGGGTGCCTCGGTGGAAGCCAAGCGTTTTTTGAAGCATTTTGGAAGCCATGCGATGGAAACAGTGAATATTCAGCATAATCTTTGCAGGACACATCTAAGTAACCATCCATTTTTCAACACTCATAGTCTACATAATTACTGACCCCACAAACCTGCGTATGTAGGCATGTGGTTCATACATGGGTTGTGAAATGTGTGACTGCTACACTTGGAGTTTGGCTTGTTCCGCGAGAAATGCTTGATCTGAGGTGTACACAAGGCTTTGGTGCCTTGAAGAATGAGCTCCTTGGCTGCCACCTCAAGGGATGCCTCGTGCCTCTTAAAGCAACCCATTCTCAAAGGTCGAACCCATCAGGTCAGAACTCCAGCGAATGGACTGGTGTCTTGTTTGGCCTATCAAGAAGCAGGTCAAATGGGTTCTATAGGTACATCGTCTTGGATTAAATGGTGTTTTGCTTTCCTTCCATGTCCAGTCGTTTCCACCACATACGTCCCGTCCATGCTGCTGTCCGTCCGTCCGTCCAGTCGATCGGCGTCACGTCGTCACCCCTGCGGTCGCGGTGGCCGGCGTTTGAGGATCTTCATCTCCAAAAAGGTGGATCACCCCAATGTGGTGCCTTGGACTTCCCAGATCGGTGAGAACTGCGAGAGTGTTTGCGATGCCAGGGTGAGATGTTTGCGATGAAGCTTCGTTTGATTTGCTTGGTTCCCAAGAGACATGGAGTTGGCGGTTCGATTAGCCTGCCGTGGCAGACAGTCAGTTTCTCTTGGAAAGTCCTATACGAAGCAGAAGCTGCCGGCGCCGACGGGGTTGACGGCGGTTTCCCGAAAAATGAAAGGTCCACGGCAGTATGAAGCAGCCCCATACCCGTGCGTTCATGAAAGACGTTCGCACATTGCCATACTTATGGAGGGACTTTTGTCCATCAAACCTTTTGAAGGCCTGCAAACGAAGAAAAATGCAATCTACTCAAACAATGACATGAAGATATGCACCAGGAGCAGATATCGGCACATGTGACACGAGTAGAGATGTTCAACAGTGCATTGGTTTCATTTGTGCATATTGTTCTGGCCCGCATCACCATCAGTAAAAGCTTATAGCCATCCTCATGTCGACAATAAGTGCAGGTCAATCCCAGAGCGGGACAAGTTACTGCAGATCCTTTGGTTGGTACTTGCTTTAAGTATGTTGTCTTCGATCACATCTACCCTTGGGACCTCTATCTATATTCTGGTTGGAGTTGGATGATCACCTGTGACATGCCGTGTTTAATAGGCACCCCACTATCATCAGAGCATTCCATAGCATTCCAATGTTGAACAAAACTTCACGCGGGAGTTGATCCACAGAGGGAGTTCACCCTTCAAAGGGTTTCTCCTCCATCTAAGATATATAATATATATATATACCTAGAACCTGATTGACCCCTGTTTTGGAGACAAAACATGGTCTTTTCCTATCAAAACAGAGGTCACATGTGTTCTAGGTATGCATACCTAGAACCTGATTGACCCCTGTTTTGGAGCCAAAACATGGTATTTTCCTATCAAAACATACATAGATCAAATGGGTTCTAGGTATGTTCTAGGTCCATTCTAGGTATATATAAGGCTAGCAGAACTTCTTCATCACCCCCACCGATCGCAACAACACCCCTTGAACAACACTCTTTGAAATCATCATGGAAGCGGAATTCAGACCATGAAATCCAAATGCTAAACAGGTCGTAGTTTTCCACTTTCACTCCACGTAAGGATTAAATAGGATTCACGATTTCAATCGATTTCAGCATATGTTCAGTTTTGCAACTGGAGTGTATCTCTGAATTCAGCTTTTGAGATTTGAGTTTTGAACACCCCTTTGACTTCTTGTTTCTTCTCACCCGGCGTGCGCTGTTGGGTGTTCAAGACGTCCGGATCTGGCTCCGGTCTCGTGATGTCCCTCCGTCAGTGGCGGTGGCGGTGAGATCGTTGGAGCTGTTCCCTCCCTTCTTCCTGCGCACCTTTTGCCGTGCGCTGCGGCTGCGGCTGCGGTGTTTTTAGTTGGGGAGTTCCAACCTATATACATATACACGTCTCTGTGAATCAATGTCGCTTCTGTATACTGGGGGGGTTCCACCCAAACGTCTGGTCTTCCCAAAATGATATCTGAACATGATTTGTGCAGCGACCATCCAAACCGAGGGAGCAGACCCGAACGAGTTAACGGAGGGAGCAGGCTGCGTCAGATGAAGGGGTCTCGAATCCCTAATTAGGGGTTGTGGGACCAGCCGGGCTGTTTTGAGCGCTTCACTTCTTCTGTCCCTCAGAGCATCCTTTTTAGCGGCTAAAAACGGCAGCGCCAAGCTGTGGCACTGGGGTGGATGTCAAAGCTGAACGTCAAAGACAAACACGGATGGCAGATTCTACACACGTATCAAACACATGGACATACTCATTTGTTTGTTGGTGTGTTTGTACTGAAACCGTGAACTCTAATCAACCAGCATCAATCAGCAACTCATTGCATCGCTTGGGTTTTCTGTTGAGGTGAAGCTTTACGAGATCTTTGAGGATAATGCCACCTGTCAGCAATGAGTGCACAGGAGAGAAAGGTCACTGCATTTGCCTTAGTTATATATTTTAATATAGGAATGCATATCCCACAAGCAACCCATTCTTGGAAGGTAGGGGAGAGATGTTGAATCGTTTGCACCCGTTGCATGGCCGGACACCGCTCCCCGACCGACCCAAAGCGCCGCGTGCAGCCGAAAGACAGCCGGCTATGCTAGTGCTATGCTCAAGAGGAGCTCGGTTGAGCATAGCATGTTGAGCATAGCATGTTCTTCGTTGTTGGTTTTTGCTGTACTTACATGGCGTTCTTCGTCTTTCAGCTGGGAGGTGCTGGGGTTCATTCCATCAAGACGAACATCGAGAGGTGTTGAGAGTGTCCACCGGATGCACCGGACCCGAGCGAGCTTCGCCCGAGCGAAACGCCGTGAGCGTGTCCCGCCGTGCCCGAGGAGAATCTCTACTTGGTACTGGAGCTTTGTTCCGCTGGACATCTCTTTGCTTATATCCGTGCCTGGTCACGTCTAGCTGCTAGCTTTGCGAGCGACTTGCGAGCTTGGTGCGCAGCATCGGGGGCCCCGGATAAAGAATCGGAGGATGAGACGCAGGCGACCCTGAGTGCTGCCGCCTGCTTGATTTCACCAGTTTTCATTGGGCTCTTAACAACTCTATTTGAGTTAAGATGAGTTGTTTTTAACTGTTAGAGTCGGGTTCAACTTCTTAGATAGGAAGAGTCAGAGTTTCCGCTGATGGTTCCTGTGAGCAGCGTAGATGACATGTGTCAAACCAGTATGTACTGCATGCCTGCACTTGATGCGAGGTTTCTTCACCCCTTGATAAATGCAATTGTGTTTCCTGTCTAATTTGTGTTTGTCCTGTCCCACATCAATAACAAACATATATACAACAACAAACAACGGCCAACAACCAACAACAATACAAAAACACAGTAACAATTGCAATATCAACAAAAAACAGAACCAGAACAAGAACAAGGACAACAACGACAACAACATCAACAACAACAACAACTGCACCAGCAACACTAAGACAACTGCCACACTCTGTTCATTTCATGTGTGTTGCTGAGGTGCTCAACGGAGTCCCTTGAAAGATCACCAATCCGTGGTGATCATGCGACAGGTCTTGCAAGGCGAATGCGGGTGGAAATCGGATGAAATCGGTCAAACGCGGCATCCCGACCCAGTCAGTGGATCAGGTTCATCCCCAAAGAACATGGATGAACAAGATGGAAGAACATGAGGTTTGGGATTCATTGTACCCCCAAATGTCCGCAAAGATGAACAGATGGAACAAGCTTTAAGCTATGTTTTCCAGGGAAACTGAGGGGAATTTCAGAGGTCAATGGAGGTCTAAAAGATTCCAATCCAGTCCCCGGGACTGTTGGGGTGATGAAAGAAACAGCCTGACAGTCAGTGGTTTCAGGACATTCTTACTGACCAGGAAGCACTCTAGGACCTGTTGGAGGATCCAGGTAAGGCTGGTAAGGGAAACACATTTATACAGATCCAATACATGTCAGAATCAACTCCATAAATACGTACTTGTCATTCACATATGTCATTATGAATGTCTTTGTTTTCCAGGATGAACTGAAGATGTCAGATGCTACCGGGTACCATGTCCGCAACAGCTTGATTTTGCATCACATTGCTCTACATTTGCTTTCCCTCTTGCAGGTGTGAACTATCTCCACAGCTGCCACATCGTGCACCGGGCATCTTGATGGGAAGGGCCAGATGGTCTCTACTGTTTGTTTCAAATGGTTCCATGATAGTAAATCTGGACCCGCTATCCGACTAGTTTCTTTGGGGTGTCAGTGAGCAATTCTTTTGGCAGATGCTAATGCTACAGATCCCAAACATACATCCAACTCCCTCCACCCGGCGTTTAATTTGACTTGTAGGACTTGTATGTATAAGGTATAATGAATCTTGGTGAGCACATGCGTGCACATGATTGCATTGGATGGGTGATTTTCTTAAGGATTTGTTTTGACTCAACATGGAGACACCTAGGAGGCCATGTCAGCAGATGTCGTGTCATTGAGTGGCTCCAACTCATGATTCTTGCCAGGTCTCTCACAAGATGCCAGGTCGCACTGCCGACATCACATCTCACTTGGTCGCCCGGATTATCCAAATATCTTACCTGCACATTCCACGTCCAAATCGCTTCTACTAGCACCTTCAAAGGGGTCATTGCAATGGAAGCCCCTACACTACTAAGGGACCTCCATTGGACACCCCTTGAAGGTCCAGGTACAGTATTACACGCTTATAGTTGCCAGCCATTGGTGGCTGACAGCCACCAGCAACTGTTTCAAACGGGAAAAGCATCGGAAGTACATCAGGTACGGGGCCGCGTATTCCCTTCTGAGATCCCACCCAACTTGGGCCAGTGGTGACAAATACTCAGAAAGGCTGTCCAGTGTCCAGGCTTCCTGTGTTTTTTAAAGTGTGTTTTGGTATTTTTCCGGAACACCTCCCAATGGCGGATGCACACGACGCACAATCCTTTTTTTCAGGATCTGAAGCCGCAGAACATCTTGGTTGTCAGGACCGTTCGGGGGGGGGGAAGAATTCGTCGGAAAACGGGCTTCCTCGTTCCAAAACACCTTCTCGGATCGTACCTGGGGGCTACGACGTGACCTTTGGATCCCTGGGGATCCAAGTAAGTAGCTTCTCAGGTGAGGAAGGAGACACTGTTATGTAGGTTTGGAGGGTCCAGTCGTACCTTCTGAGAAGGTACTTGGATCCCTAGGAATAGTGACTATAGTGACTATACTCAAACACTTCATGGGACTTGATATATGCCTACAATGACCCCAAGTCAACCACCCGAAAATGTGTGTATAAATATGCCAGTCCCATGGAGTGTTGTGACCACTCGAACATGTGCGTATAAATATGCCAGTCCCATGGAGTGTTATAGGCCAAAAGGAACCTGCAGTATGCCAATGCTCGAAGGACGCTTCATCTCAAAGCATTCTTTTGCCTATGGATCCACTGCCACCTTCTCAGGTTCGTTATGACTGGGCCCGACCCAGGCGCCTACATAAATAGTCTCCCTGCTGCCTGCTCACCTTCTCAGGTTCAGTATGTGGACCCATGGGGTTTGGAAACTACCACCCGAAATGACGCAGGTTTGGGGTGATGCTGCCACATGTTTGCCCTTGATTGATCTTGATTGTGCCTTTGTTGCAGAGGCACTTTCCCGCCTGAACATGGCGGCAGAAGCACACAACCTACTGTTCATGAGAAATAAATGTACCTTGCACATCCTTGCACCACGTGGCTCACTCCAGGTCTTTCTAGATTCGGGGATGAGTCAAATCCTGGAGCCCTGGTCCACCATGGGAATGACCTTCCAGGTAGGTCAACCAATCATTGATGATACTACCGTCCTGAAGGCGTTCACGCCAGCCAAGAAGGAAGAAGAGGGTCCCATGGAGGAGGCTGAGGCCGATGAGAACAAAGAGGGAGATGTGAAGAAGGAAGATGTAGCTCCTGAACCCCAGCCTGACACCCCGGCTGAGATTGAAGAGGTTGTGGAAGACCTTGGAATTGGCGCCGCCAGGAAAGAGTTCCTCAGGTTTGATCCTCTCGGCATGCTGGTGACCCATACCCGTGCGAGCGATTTAACCATCGCTACGCCTGCGCGCTTCTTCAGCGATTTCATAGCGCTTGCGCTTGGCAGCTGGCCGTCAAGGTCCAGGAGGGAGGAGTCTCCTAAAGGAGTCCTGAACTTTTTGTTCTCAATATATGCACAGCTGCACCCGTCTGGTGGCACTCCCAGGAGCACAGCGGGTGTATCGAGCCGAGGCTCTCACATCCGGGGCGTATGCCCATTAACCAGCAGCACGGCTGCAGCACGGCTGCATGCCGGCACCCATGAAGGATCGGGCGACCGAGCTCAACAGGGTTGTTGCCACAAAAGCTGAATGATGAAGGCATCCCATCGGACTCCACTGACGGAGCCACAGGAGGATTCAAGCATGCGGCGCTTCCGGCAGGTTGCGTCGCATCGGCGAGGCGTGGCTCAATCGGGTTCGGTTGAGGGCATCGACGTTGGACCTTGATGCAGCATACGCTTCCGGATGTTCAAAGACCACCTTTTCAGACCTTCATCAGAAGACGTTGCTCTGTTCTCGCCTTTTGTTCTGTTCAGGATGTCTTGACCTGCTCGAATTCTCGCCTTTTGTTTCCTTCATTGTCACAGGACCGATTGCTCTCGGTCACCACAAGTCGGTCGCCGGCGAATCAGCTGAACCAACGCGCCGTCGTAACGCGCACGGCGCTGTTCCTGGTCATCGGTGGCTATATCGAATCGGATCTGCGTAAGTTCGGAGTGGCAAGCCTACTCTGCGTGCGACACCGACACCCACAGGCTATTACCTACCTTGAGCGTTTTCCAGCCAAATTGTGGTTACCCCTGCCGTGGTCATTCCCAGAGATGTTTACTCTGCGTCAGCTACTAACCTACCGTGGGCAACCCACTGAACATACAGATATTCGCATGGATTCCGGTGTTCTTTATTTCTACACGGATGGTTCAGCTGATAATCCCCTGTCCTCAGATATTAGACGATCAGCATGGTCCATCATTCAATGTTCCTATCTCAATGATGAGCCCCAGTTTTTCACAATCAAGATTCAACATACTCAAGGTCGGCAAACCATTTCCAGAGCAGAACTGGCAGCTGTGACATGGATCATCCAGCATGCAGTCTCCTCCAATTAGCGTCAACAAGTTGTAATTACCACTGACAGTCAATTCGTCATTAATGCCATTAATCAGACTGTTAATTCTCATGCTCCCCAATCTTGGCATCGATTAGCGCATGCTGACCTCTTGCAGATCATCCGTAACTGCTGGATTCCAGGTCAGTTTGTTCTCCGTAAGGTCAAATCACACCAAGATCTTTCGACCATTCCCCCACAGGTTCATAGGGTTGATGCTATTGGTAACCATTGGGCTGAAGCTCGTCTTGCTGACAACGACCAAGTTCATAAGTTATTCCAAGCCGCTCAAACTTGGCAACATGATCAGCTTTTACAGACCAAAAAAATCTTAGCATATCTAGCCGATCTTAATCTACAACATGCCCTCGCGAAACAGCAGACTTCAACTCAAGCCAAAGCAGCTGATCATCACGACTCCACGCAAGATTGGGGAACATTGTACTGCCAACGGGAAAAATATCAGATTTCCCATCCTCCATGTACTTTTTGTCCTGATATTCATCCAAAAATCATTGCAGCCTGTCTTTGGGGCAACCAGTATGCAGATTTGGTTCGTCAGCTTTGTGCTTCGTTAATTTGGCCCGACCCAAATCAGTCAGATCATTCTCCCCTCATTCGGGAGGGCATCACATGGCACGAACTCACCATCGCTTTTATAGTCAATCCGGGAGTACAATTTCCCACCTTCATCAAACTCAAAGAGGGCCAGCGAGCACGTCCGCACCATTGGCAAGATCCAAAGGTTCTTGCTTTGCCTAAACATAAACGTTCGCTCAGAGAACAATCTGAGGCATTCCGCATTATTGCCCTCTACCTCCAAGGCTTTACAACCAGTCCACTGCTTCCCAAGCATTCTAAAACAGGGTCCACTAGCTTGACCAGAGTTGGCTGGGGCCGTACATACACAGGCGGATTTGAGCTCCGACCACAGATTCCCCAAGCCCGGGCTGTTAATCAGACACATCGTATATCAAGGACCTAGCATGCAAACCTCCATTTCACCATGATGGGGTATAGTGTCCATGCAATTTGCACACGCAGAATTCATTGCTCCACCGCCCTTGTCTCTTTCTTACGAGCAATGCTTTCTTTATCGACGCAATATTCGTAAGGCCTGGGCCAAAGGTGAAGATCTTGGTGCTGTTCCGATACCCCCACCACCCAATTAGGTGCTTGAATTTGCTACTCGGTTGTCGCGCGGATATTCGGTCTCACGTAGCTAGTTCTGTCTCCTGTTTTTGCATTTTGTGTACAGTGCATGTTCTTTAGATACTCTACCCAACTCCCCAGTACCCACCAAGAGGTGAAGGACTGGAAGCGCAGACATTGGAGGCACCATGAACTGCAACCAATGTCTCTGGCGCCATGAACCGCAACCGACTCGCCCAATCGATCCTTTGGAGTGCAGGAGTGACATAAGTCGTGATGCTGGCAACTCACTGCGGATCAGCCACTTGAATTCCAAGGATCAATGACAGAACTCAGCAGTTTCATGTGGGGATTCTGACTGAACAGAAGAAGTCCGAACGAAGCCCCTGTCATCGTCCTTTCTGTGTCCTGTAAGATATTGTAAGATCCTGATGAGTAGGGACAAGTCACAACACCTGCCCCAACCACTTGAGCATTTCGGATGCGGGGAGAGCTAGGAGCAGCTAGGACTGATAGTGTTGTCATGTGTTGTCATATGTTGTTGTTGTTGCTGTTGCTGTTGTTGTTGTGGTGGTGGTTTTCTGAAGTTTTAATATGGAGTTTCATAATCGTATGTTTGCATATGTTTTCGATGTACATTTTAGATTGGTTTAGAGTGAACTGGTTGGTTCTGAAAACTTCATTCTGCATAGGTTTTTGCAAGATGCCTCAGGCTAGGGTCGTTAGTGCAGGTATCAGGATGAGACAGTCAAGCGTAGCTCACGTTGGGTTTTCTATTGGAATGACCTCAGCAGTTAGGGGAGACTTAGTCTAAGTCTATGGTATCCTTGCGGTCTTGCACATTCAAAGCTCTGAGCAATTGCAGTTGCTTAGTATAGCTGTTGCTGGCTTTTGCTCAGGAGGGGGTACCTGAGGATCGCCAGGGTATCCAGTTCTTACCCATTAAGCATGGAGCTGGAACTCGCAACCCCTGTTTGTTTTGAAGCTGTAGGCCAAGGCAACTATCAACTATATACTTGAGGGAGGTTTTTGTCGTTATACTCTCCTGGCCAACACCCACCTGGCAACTGACCGACCCCTAACTTATTCCCACTGTCACTGACCAATTTACATTACTACATGTGTATATAAAATAAATTGTTGAGTTATTTGCCACATTGTCCTTGCTTTTGTTCCGTTTTGGATCCTTCCAAACCTGGGCCCCGCACCATGACTGGCGCACCTTCTTGAATACTCTGGACCTTGGGGTCGTGACATGCCCATGAAGCCAGTCCCTGCAAGGGTTTCATCCAGTTGGATCATCTGACCAAGGTGAGTCTTTAGATCCGATGCAACCCACACACACTCACACAGCGACGCAAGCTTGGCTTGGACTGCAGGGGTTTGGAGAGACATGTTTCGCCATGTTACAAGGTTTCACCATGTTTCACGTAGAACATCCTGAACCCAATTCAGGTCATAACCTTCAACCAATGTTGGACTGAAAGCAACCCACAATTAACCCCTGAAACTCTTTGAGACCAAACAAGCTCTTACCTCGTGACAGTGCATCCACCGATCGACGATCGTCTCGGTCGCACAGTTCGGCCGGCCCAGGCGATTTCGGCCTCTCATGCGAGTTCGAACCAGGGCAGGTTCTGACGGCCCAGGCCGCTGCGCCCAGCAGGTTGCGGTGTGATGAGTTTCTTCCCAGGAAGTACCCCTACACCTCCAGTCGTACCTCCTCAGAGGTATTTGGACCCTCCAAACCCACCCCAGTCCCACCTTCTCAGAAGGTACTTGGAGGCTTATAGAGTACGTGGATGTTTCCTGCATTTTTTGGGGGGGGAGATTTGGGGAATGCCCCCCATTGAAATCCGACAGGTGGAACTAAGAGGGCGCACCTAATGTGAATTAACTATGTTCCAGGGTAAGCGGAGGGGGTCAGAGTATGATGGACATAGCCAGTCTACCCAGCCTACCGGGTCACTTCCTGAAGCTTCAAATGCTGGTGCTTTCAGGGCTTGAATGGTTTGATGGAGAAAAGCTGCACTATATAGATGCTCAATGACACAAGAAGAATTGGTGGTTCTTGTGCATTAAGATGAAGGCTACCCTTGAAAGGTTTAAAGGCCATAAGTCTACCAACATTGGGAAGAACTCCCGACCTTTGTATGGCATAGGTGTAAAGACTTGAGACTTGATGGTGTACAGCTGCATCACGGACTCAAAGACAATGATTTAACAGGACTCCGTGCACTGCAAGCCAAACACCAGATAACCTAGCTAGAATGATATACAGTTTATATATATATATATATGTGTGTGCCTGTATGCAATTCATGCTAGGTTTGCTCTACCAAACCCTGCCATCGCAGGCTCAAGCAGGCACATCTTTTGCTAGGCAAGTTTTGGATAGTTTTGGGCCTTGGGCATCATGTGGGCTTTGCCGAGGATCTTCATGACCCACACGACTAGCAAATGGTGGCGAGGCGCCGGTGGAGCAACGTGCCGGTGGAGCGCAACACTTGCGAAGGGGTCAAGGTTTCCTTTGCAGAGAGGCAGCCAGGTTCGGCTCTTGGTGGATGCGGATCAATTTAGCCCTACACAAATCACTGAGGCGCTTGCGTTGTTCCGTGCCGAAATTGTCAAGTTGGTGGAGACAAGGATTTTTGCTGAGCCGGGAAGAAGAAACAACAAGCAGATGCAAGAGCTTCTCCAGACAGCTGGCGTCAAGTTTCATGCGGTGCCGCGGACGCAACAGCCGCAGCTGGCAGAACCTAATGATGAGGCAATTGTTGCAGAGATGCAAGTGCTGGCCAATAAGAAGGCTAGCAATGAATGGATTGCTTTGATGACCGCCGACAAGGGCTTCACTATAACAATCAAGCTGCTAATTTCAAAAGACCATCGGGTCTTGGTTCTAGTGCCTTGCCGGCATGTGCCAGTGGTCCAGCATTACGAAGGTGAAGGCATCCCAGTCAGTCAGTTGGGGGAAGAACCGCCTCTGACAAAAGTTCGAGCACTGCTGGATGTCCATGGCAACGGAACAGTGCGTTTGGCAGATTCATATGGCAAAGTTCTTGACCGGACAAGGAGCGAGGAGTCTGCCAAGACATTTTACAAGTTGTTCAAAGGTGTCGGAGAAAAACATCGATGTTAAACGGACTATTTATCGATCCACAGGATTGCAAAGCTTTGGTTTGCAAACGGTTTAGGATCCTTGGTAGTTTATCCGTTTCACCTGGCTGTGGATGCTTTGCAGGATGTAGTTGATCAGGGATCTAATCGCAGATGGACCCTGGACTATGAGAAGCTCGCGTTTCTTCTTCCAGTCGGACGTGGTGGCAGGTTGACCAAGACACAATACGAGATCTATGGCCACGGACTTGCCCGCAGCATCTTCGCAGGAGGTGGCCCATTCATTTTGAAGGATTCGTCTGACCTTACGATTCAAGTATTGCGAAGGTTGGGCTACATAGATGACAACTTAAACTCAGATTTGCGTGAAGCTATGTTTGTTTTTCTCAATGCTGCTGAAAACAAATGCGCCTTGAGGCAGATGGGTTTCACTTTTCATTCAGGTGACGCAACTGTGGATATAGCGTGCAAATTGAGAGATGCGTTCCTGTGTGAACGCTTTGCAGGACGCTGGAAAGTCGGGGGCATCAGCGATGCGAACATATTACAGGCCATGAAGTCACAGCGGTGTCTTCCGCAGGACGCCGTCAACCTATCTAAAGAGGACATGTTTGAGGCAATGAAGACCTTTGCACGTGTGCATCGACTCCAAGAAAAGAGGACGTACAATGGCTTGGCACTCAATATCTTGCAGCACATCAACAGGACTGATCCAAAGAGACGGAGCAATGTTACCATTTAACGTGGAAAGCATGCGCACAACAATCCTCAATTTGTTCAACGATGCTTTGCTGGGATGGCTCACCTGCAATCACCATCCAAGTTTTGTGTCAAAGGCTGGTGGGTTGAGGACACCAAAAGTCTTGGACATGAGACGGAGTTTGACAGTGATTTGTCCAGCTGATGAGCCCATCCGTTGCTCAGAAAGTACCGAGTCACCAGCTTCGAAGCAGGCGCAAAAAGGGCTGCTTTGGCAATCCCCGTGCTTGATCTGGGCTTCTGAGTGCCAGGTTTCATGGATTGTAGTAGATCATACCAGGACCCACAAGGGGTGGTTTATGGACACCCCTTAGGGTTTATGGACACCAGTGAGGGCCCCACCAGTTAGGGCCCCCTGGCCCTGGTATAGATATACAGATGCACTTGTGTTTCATTGAGAGGTCCGACAAGGGCCACAGTGACTCCCTTTCCCTGCCGTTTATGTGTTTGCTCCGCGCGACGCGGTGACACGTACTTTCGTGGGCCTTCGCCAGACACCATCCAGCGGTGTACGTTGTTTTGTTCTACGACATTTGTCGGCGAATCCTACAGGTGAAAGACCTCGTTCTACCGAAGAGTTGATCATGCCACTAGCCGCTATAGCAGAGGTCCAAGGATCAGATGCATCCGAAGGTCAGACTGCACCAAGGAAGCCATCCTTTAGACGAAGCCATCCGTTTTGAGGATGCCACCGTTCGCGAGACTTCCCAACGGGCTCAGAGGCACCGTTTGGCCACAGACCGTCTCCGGCATCCAGGTGGGTACCACTGCCTACATGGCACCGCAGGCGGAGAGCTGCTTTTTCGGAGTCCAAGTGGGGCATGGTGATAGTGGTGATTGGAGGCTGGTTACTGATGATCCACCCGTTTCATTGGAACCCCCGGTGTCGGGGGAATGTTGCTGACACAAAATCCTCAAGAAGTTCCAAGGGTTATATGGCTTAGCGTGGAGCCCCTTCGAATACTAGACAAGTTTGGGTAGACGGTTGCTCGAAATCTATTTGCCTAGTTTGTTGTTTCACCATGTTTCACCCATCAAAAACGAAACAACTATTAACCTGTCCTTGGTTTTGCTTTTTTCGAGTGAAGTCCCCATGGGTGAGTCCCCTAGACTGCGGTTCGACAGCACAACGACGCAATCAGACGTCCTGGATCCACGGATCCACCGTACCGACCTGGTTCGGGACGGGGCCCGAGTCGCGCCGAGCCATGAAGAGTATCCCATCACCGTACCTCAGGGTTTGGTATGTGGATTCATAGGGGAACCAAAGGTGTCAATTGCGAAGTGGAGTGCATCATCGGTTGGGCGGATGTACTCTCTTCCTCCAACCAGCGCTTTTGGACCTTTCAAACTCAGTCACCCGGAGCACCGCGCTCTTTCGGCGCTGCTAGCGGAGCTACAGACATGGAGCCCGAAGAAAAACATGTCAAGGTCGAACTGGGCATCCGATGGTGTGACCGCCCAGTACCTCCAAAACAAAACAGATGGTAGAGTTTAGAACTGCTAGCAGGTCAGCCCCAGACCATCTTCGTCAGCACCAGGTCCTTGCCTTCCCGGATGACTTGGCAGGTCTTGCTGAAGAGCTACACCGAGATTTGTGACGTTTGGAGCTGCCCTGAACCCCGGGTCCGGTCGATGCCGTCGATTCGTCGCGACCAGTTCGACAGGCGAAGACTGCGAAGACGATCAATTGTAACGTCTAATTACATGTTAAAGGCGTTACAAGTTAAAGGTTAATTTCATGTATTTTTGAGGTTAGTTGATTACATGTTGACGACAAAAACACAAGTTAGAGGGAATATGAGGGAATGGTTAGGAATGCAATCGGATGACCATGCCGGACGCCATCAAGTCACCATCAGGAGGACAACAAGACGTGCAAACACATTGATGGTGACTTTTGCCCATTGATGGTGTTTCACCATCACATGTGGTGTTTCGATCATTGCCCACCATCGCAAACACAGAACCCCCGTGTTTTGTTCCAGTGTTGCTAGCTTATGGTAGCCACCTTAAACTCCCTCATACAAGGATGATTATGCATGAGGCGCCACAGTATCATCGACTACAGCTGTTTTTTGCATATAGGCCCCTTGGAGATCCATAGAGCCAAGGAAATAGGATTTCTCCGCTTCATCCCCGCCCAACTGGGCCAGCTCAGCTGGCAATGCATGACGACGGTGGATTCCAAGCGCCAGAGAACACACACACACTTGGAGGTGTCCTGTACTTTTCGTTTGGGATGTACTGGCGGACTCAACTATACAGTGACCTTATATTTGTGTCCATTGTTTTTTTGAATAACCCGCCAACATCCGTAAACAATTTAACCAGGCATCCTGACAATTCCAAGAAATCCATATTTAGGTTGCTCAATCGGTGTATGATCCATAAATATATATATATAGACTCCCACTATAGATAGAGGTTCGTAGATCCCCACTATAGCAATGTATTGGAAACCGTGCCACGATCTACTTGGGTTGGACCGCATCCCCCGAACACCCAAACACCTCAGCGGTCGACCCGCGCAGCGATCGAGATATTTCGACGCGCCCGCCCAGGTGGGGTCATTCTACACATCCTCTTGTCTGGCTTCTTACCATTTTTAGGCCAGTCTGAGGGTGTATCAAATTGGTTCTTCTGGCTTCTGATGCTTCAACAACACGCGGCTATTTATGTATGTATGTTTATTTATCTTGTAGGTTTTTTTTTTTTTATTTATTTTTTTTCGAGGGCTGGGTGCGTTTTGTGGCTACCATTGTTTTGTCAGATCACTGGGCAGGATCGGGATGCCGGCATGAAGTCACCGTTCTTCCTTTGACACCGGGAGGAAGTCGCCGGTCGGCAGCCGGTCCGGCGGTGTGGTCAATATATAGGGGCTGCGCCCGGATCCTCGGTGATCAATGAACTGTGTCGGGACGGGTCACTGGTTTTCTTGCAATGCCCGGAATAGGCCCTGGACGGGTCCAGGACCATCCGTTTGTGTTGCAAGGCCCAATGGAAAGATCACTCTTTGGAGTTTCACCTCCAAGACCATCCGAAGTACGGAGGTACTGGGACCATATTGACCATATTTAAAAAGGGGGTACGTTGGTGCTTCGGCAACCTCCTACTGTAAGGGTCTGGGTGAAAGCCAGTACAATGGAGCAATGCAGCCACAGCCAATGCTGTTTTGCAGGAGGATGTGGATTTGCAGCAACTTAACAGCCTATAGCCTATAGAGCCTCAACCGTTAGGAGCTGTCAAGCCTCCCAAAGATTAACAAGCACGTACACAAAGCCATTCGGATCCTTTCAGCCTCTCTCAAGGGTGATCTCCGGTCTGCCACAATAATCTGAACCCCGCCCCAACCATCGATAGGTCTTTTACGATTGCTTGATCCGGGCATAGCCCCATATTCGTGTACAAGCCAGTCCGGTCTATGGTGCCTCACCCCGAACCCTCAATGGATTGGTTCAAGGGACCATCTGCAGGAGACAATGGTGTTCACCTCCCAAACTATGGCCTTTCCTGTAGATTTTGTCCCTCAACCACTTCAGTCAAAATACACCGTTTGATCCTGAAAAAGGGCTAACGTGGCTAAAGTGATATTTGACAGTGAAACAAACAAATGCGTAAAACAGTGCATCAACAAACAAACTATGAAAGAAACGAAGAAATGAAGGAAGGAAGGAAGGAAAGAAGGAAGGACGGGAGGAAGGAAGGAAGGAAGGGAGGAAGGAAGGGAGGAAGGAAGGAAGGAAGGGCTACCTCCGCGACGCATACGTGGTGGCACGCTTCATCGAACCACGCAAGGTCAGTGTGCCTATACCTAGAAGACCCTTTCGGCAGAAATTCTTGCCTTTTTCGGGAAGAGCGGCTCTTCCCGTCCTGGGGCGGAAATCAACTTTTTGTCTCGGAAATGTTTTTGTTGCCGCGAACTTTCCCTTTCAGGAATCTAGTCAGGCAAAGACTATATATATTCTAGAGGCGTTGAATATTTTCTGTGGTTTACATTGGGCATTTCTCTCTGGGACGGTCCCTCCATTAAGTTAAGAAAACAAAGAATGGCAACACTTAAGTTTCCACCTCCACCTGGAATGTGGCTACCATCATATCATATATATATATGTGTCTTTGTGTTTGAAGGTTTCTTGTGCGGAATGAGCACATACGGAGTAAAACCAATCCAAAGTTGAAAACACCCGGCTCAAAAATGCAAAAATACCCGGGAAAACGGCGGAAATACTAGGAAAAACGGCGGAAATACCTGGTAAAAAGGCGGACTTAATTTTTTTGGCAAAAGACGGGATTCAAAAACAGTGCCGTTGAAGGGATTGAACAAATGTTGCGGCATCTTTGTGAATGTCATGAATTAAGAAGTGTGAAAATCGTAGGGTGTGAGATCCTGAGATGTGAAACTATGTCCTTGCAGAACTATATGTGGTATGCAATCATGGAAGAGACAACCTGGTCCGGGTTAGGCAGTGGTGATGGTTTTGAAAGGCTATGCTGAATCTTGCTTGCGGCAAAAATTCCCTGCTGGCTGCGGAAGCTCCTATCTGGCGTGGATTTCCCCTAAGTCCGCAAATTCTCCCGGGCAAGTCGGACTGAGGCGAAATTTTCGCCCCGTGCTTCTAATCTACATGCGGTCCCGCTATGAAGAGGAGATGCAGTACGGAGACTCCGTGAGCTTCGAACTGGAGAGGCTGAACGTCCATGATCCATACGTCTCCGAAGACCTCGACACCATTGATTTCTGCGACAGAGAGTGCCAGTGTATCGGCCTCTCTCCTGCGTCCAAGATCTATCGGGCAGATGGATTTGCATTTGGACTCCGCCCAGACTTTGCCCAAAGATTCCGGGGAGGATGGTTTCTATATGGATTTTGCAAAAGAGCTTCCTGCGGTGAACATTTGGCAATGGGCGTTTCTGACACCTCCTCGTCCATGACTTCTTGGACTTGGACGAGCTGGGAATCAGCTGGCCGATCCTACCTGCCTCCAATTGCTGAAGGAGCAGTTGATGCCTGTGACCGGCCGCCTGACGGAATCCCATAGGCTCCTGCCGGCAGACCACAATGCCCAGCAGCGCACTGAGCTCCAGGCGTGGGAATTTGTCAACTTCCTGCTCGCTCTGCGCAAGGCCTCTGGGACCCATCTCCGCATCAACTTTCTTCATATGGTCGACACTTAGCTGTGTCCAGTACGAGCACTTCCAGCGATCGTCGTTCGTCGAGGCCCAAGAGCAGTACTTGGTGTTCCGGGGCAAGTCGCACCGCCGACTTACTCCGGAGCTGGAATTCCAGGGCATGAGCCTTTTACGCATCCTCAAGGACAGTTGTCATGGAGACTGACGGCAGGGATCCGATACTTCTCAACGCGGTCTCCAGCTAGCTTTCCAGCTGATGGGTGCTCCCCCACAACTGCCTAAGTCCTTCTCTCCTGCTCGGAATCGGCGCTACTTGGGCACGTCGGTTCTTGTGGGTGATTTCATTGCGGAAGGCTTCATTCGCTTGCAGCCCAAGTCATCTACTCGCCACAAGGTGCTGCACCGGCTCTTTGAGGCCATTCAGTCTTGGACTCTGGCACGCGATGAGGCTGGTAAACTGTGGGGGGATTTGAATTGGCTCTTCAATATGTGTGCGGGGCATGCTGGACGAGTTGCCGGCCCCGTCTTAACTGCCTACCAACACTCTGAGAGTTCGCAGCTGTCTGATCATCATGATTGGAATACCCTGAAGTTACTGGAGGTCATGGTAGCTACCGCCGGACCTCATGACGTGCAGGTGCACTCCACCCCTGCCAAACCTATGTTGATATACTCGGATGCCACGTTTGAAGACGGGACTTTGCGTCTGGGTTGGGTTCTTCTGTGGCGTGACATAAAGCCTCAGGTTGTGACGCGCCTGGTTCCCCCCAGCGCGTTGTCGACCACTGGGAGGCCCGTACGCAGCAGATTTATCCGGGTGAAGCTTTGTGCGGTCTTTTGGTCCCCTGGTTCCACCACTCCCGCCTCAGTCCGTTCGATGTCCTCTGGTTCATTGACAACGAGGCGGCGGTAGCCTCTTTGATCCGGGGCAGCTAGCACACCCAGCTCGACGTGCATTCGATGGTCCAGATCGCACACTTTCTCTTTTCCAAATTTAATTTTGAATGGATTGACTCTGCGAGTACTGTAATCCATCCGATGGTCTGTCGGTGGCCTCACAGACGACTGGACAACGCAGGATTGGACCTTCGAGGAAGTTTCTTTTCCTGCCTGAGGATCTCGTTGCAGTGACACACCCGCACCATCTGCTTCAGTTCTTGGAATTGGTGGACAGTGGGTGATCTTCTGACTGTGGTTGGCTTGTTTAAGTTCATCTGAGATGACTTTAACAGCTAGTCCGTGTGTATGTACCATGACTGTTACCCAGTGCTATTTTACAAAGCTGTTTGTGTGCGACACTGTCCATGTTTGTGAACATGGCAGGTGTACGTGTGTGACAATTATGGAAAAAGAGGATGCTGCTTACACGCTTGAGTTACCCTCATGTTTCGGGTCCTTTTGACCGCATTGAAGACCTCTAGTTATCCTGCTGCGGCCGATACGGCCTCCACGCCCGTGCAAACACCCTTGCCTGCTGCGCTTTGCGCGGCTGACTTTTCGATTCCTGGCGGCGGCGCGACAGCTGGAGAGTCTGCGGCCTGGGCCATGCCATCTTCTTGGACTTTTGACAGGCAGGATTTGGAGTCTTGTTGGCCGTGCCTTCTTCAGCTGGCCGTGCTGGCAGCGGCATCCTCTCAGCTTTTGATTCCGAATCCTGCTTCGGCCGCCGCTGCTTCGATGCCTCGGCGATCTGGTAGGACAGTTGCCGCCGACGGTTGTTGCGTCGGTGTCTATGGCGTTCATTTATGTGGATCTCTGGGGCGGGCCACCAAGCATGCGTGCAAGAGAGCTACCCCCGTCTATGGATGGAGTCAGTGCTTTCGCAACGTTGAGTGGTAATTCCTGTGGCATTTATTTGGAGGACGAGCTCCAGGATGACTTTTCTGTCAGTGGGCCGAAACTTAGAAGCTAATGCTCCACAAATTCAGTCACAGTGTCCTCTTCGAATTTCCATGCACCTGGCGAAGCAAGCGGCCACTGCATACCCTGGTGACTTGCCACCTGCAATTGCACATGCTTGCCGTCTTTGTTGCTCTCCAAGCATCGAGGTCTCTATCCCCACCGGCGAGGTCGTTTGCGCCTGTGAGTTTGCGCTTGTGATTTCGTTTGCTTCAGTTGATGACTCTTCTGCAGCTGCAGCGTTGCACCATGGTCCCGAACATGCTGAGGCACCAAGGGAAGTCTCTAAAATGTGTGTGCCTGCTTCCGTCGGTTTACCTTGCTTTGCTGCCGATCCCAAATCCGAGGTCGAGCATTACTTCAGCATATATATTATATATATATATTATCGAGTTTTAAGAAATAAATTGTGTGTTTGTTGTTTGGGTTTCCGAATGGCAAAAATTCAACTGAGGCTGAGGATTCTGAAGGCTTCTGGAAAAAGAAGCAGCGTCCGGTGCAGAGCCTGGCGGTAATAGTAAACTAGTACGTATGACAACTTTGATATAGCGAGGGGCTAAGCTCAGAACCCCATCCAGGTCCTAGGTCCAAAACTCTTTTGTGGTCCCTAGGTCAGGTACCAGGGGAAGGTTGCAGTTTTCAAGGCTGAAATATTCAACTGAAAATTCTGAAGGCCTCTGGAAAGCAAAGCAGCCTCTGGTGCAAATCCGGGCGGTAGCAAGTATGCAGATATCAAGAAAACATATTGGACTAATTGTAATATATTGTTACAAGTGCAGGATACTTTGGTCAAACCCACAAATAAGTCTATGTCTACATATGGATATATACATATATATATATACATATATATGTAAGATTGTTTGTATTTAATGTGTTTTCCCTGTTTGATTTTTTCAATGTTTTTTTCTGATCACTGCATCGGATGGAATCTTGCTCTTCCCTCCGCATGTTTGGATCCGTTTATGTTTATGTTCGATTCATTTTTTTTTGATCCCTCGCCCGGTGCCAGGTCGCGATGCGAGCAAAGAGTCGATCCGAAGAGAGATCCTGCGTGGAAAGCTGAAGATGCCCTTCGGATCGTGCAACCTTTGGGCCGGTCGGGGTGCCGGGGGGTGAGAGCCTAGCTTAGGTATGCTGCATGCTCATGATCAATCCAGCGCCGTTTATTTTTTGGAGTGGGGTCGGAACAGCAGGAGCAACCACGAAAGGAACACAACATTTTGCAGCAACATCAGCAGCCACCACAACATTGAAGGTCATGAATATTAGGTAAATTCATATCACGCTGTAGGGATCCACATACCTTGTCGGAAGGTACTGGGACCCTGCAAGGCATAAACGTGTTTTGAATCACCCTCTCAGAGAGTGGCAGTGGATCCATGGGGAACCACGAGACTCTTCCATGCGTTTTCTGGGTGTTTCACCCGGAGTTTCAGGGTGTGACCACGTCGTTCGGAACGTGAACATGTACGTCAGATCATCATTTCGGGGCCCGCTGTTGTTTTCACGCCCATCCTCACGGCTACTCTTCAACTACCACCCCTCCATGTTCCTCCGAGGAATGGCAGGTGCCTCGGCCTCGCAGGGATTGAGCTGTCGGCGTGCCATTGGGGTGGTGAATGTGGGGATTGGCAGGCATTCTCAGAAGGGCTGGCCGCCTCCCAAACCAGGTGGGCAGACCTTCTTGGATTTCAAGATGAGGTAGATGATGTTACCAGCAGGTGAACACCTCAAGGTTCAACATCAAGACCCTGCAGGGTTTCTTGGTGATGTTGAAGCCACCTGCGTGGTTTGGCCTTAAGAACCAAAACAATTTGCCTGGCAAGAAGACTCCAGGATTGTCCAACCAGTCGGGCCCAAAAATGTTTCATATATCATGGATAGCAAGAGGTCATGGACCAAGCTTTCCCACAGCGGTGTTTTCAACAAGGGGGTGTGTCCTTCCTCGGTGATCAATGAACTGTATCGTTTGGGTCCCTGTTCTTCTCTTGCAATGCCGTAAGGCCCTGGACGGGTCCAGGATCATCCGGCCATCTCGGATGTCCTGCAAAGCCCCATGTCGACCATTCTTTGCAAGTACGAACTCACCTTCAAGACCATGTGTTGCCTGCACTAAGAATGCTTCGTGGTCCAATCAACGGCCTATGTGACCGTTGTGTCTCTGTGGTATTGTTGCACACTCATTCTGCTTCACTCAAAGAGTCAACTGGAAGGGTGGATGTTTCAATTGTGTTTTTCAACCGTCCCCGTGGTGTGTTGGGGCCCTGGGCGCGGCGCGAAGGGCTGGCTCGTTGAAAAACGGTCAGGCGATGGGTCGAGGTGAATCCAGCCGCCATCAACCTTTTGCTGAGACTTGGCAGCGAGGGATCCAACCAAGTCTTGGATGAATGTGTCTTGTCTTGATGACTCTTTCATGTTCCTTCCCCTATAGGAATCCAGTCGCATCTTCCCAGAAAATGGAGACATTAGTGATGTAGGTGCCAGGAGGGTCCAGTTGTACCTGAGGTACGGTGGATCCGTGGATCCATAGGGTATGTTTCCTCTTGCATGTCTGGCTCCCGTTGATCACTCTCACTCTTCGTCCGAAAACTTGGCCGAAAGAACTTGGTTGAAGTAGTTCGGCAGAGACGAACTAGTCCGGCAGATGAACATCGCCAGGGGACGAGTATCTTGGAAAAAACAAAAGACAAAACCATGATAAACAATGGGACATACCCTACACCGACTTCGTCGTACCTCCTCAGGTTCGGTATGACTGGACCCGACAATGGCACCCACCCCAGTCCCACCTTCGAAACGAAGGTACGACTGGAGGCCTAGGGATATAGCTCCCCCATAAAAGCAGATACCTCTACCCATTTTTGAGGTACTTGCATGGAGTCTGGGAGTGAGTTTAGGTATCCATGTTACATGTCACATGTCATGTCCGTTTCTTGCAGCAGCTGGGATATTCGAAGTAGAATAAATTCAACTTACTGCAAGTGTTGCATGTGTGTATCGCAAGCTGGTGCCTGAAAAACAGTAGGATTAGATGAGTGAGCCTCCGTAGAACAATGTCGAAAAAGACTTGTGGACATGTCACTAATTCTTTGGACTCCTTTGATGAACAATTGTATTCAGTATTTGGGTTAACTTTAAAGTCTGACCGTCTCGTTCGAGTCGAAGCGTTTGGACACGAAGTTGGTGAAGGAACAAAACCTCATCCTGGCAGTTTTACGAGTGTTTTCGGTCGCTGGAACTCATCAGATCCTTGGCACAACTCCTGGGTCCTGGAAGGGTTCGCTGAACAAAACCACCCCACTCACCCAGAACATGCCAGAACCAGATACATAATTTAAAGAATACGTTCCGTAACCCTGACCACCCTGATGGAGGAGAATAAATAAATCACCTGGCATGAACGTACACTGGGATATAGACGTTTCGTCCTTCAATACAGAGGTTTCGCGATGCTTGCTCCCTTTTTTTTTCGGCCGGTCAGTGGCTGCGTAGATGGCCCATGGTTGCTTGATACATTGTAGAAGGGAAAATACACACCCCCCAAAAAGAACGTACATGTTTTTTGTGGGGCAAACCAAAACTCACCATCGGTGCAAACTCACGAACCTCCGTGGAATCGACTGACTCATCGGTGCTCTCAGGAAGATGCTGAAGGTCAATCCGGAAGATCGGCTCACGGCCCAGCCTCCCGACCGAATCGGTCCAATGTCACGTTGGTCCAGCCGAGCCGTCCCAACCGATGATTTTGTTTTGATGTGCCATGAACATGGGTGGGTTTTTCCTGGCCCCTGACGGCCGAAAGACCTCTTCGCCATCCTGAACTCTTTGCTGTGAGACCTCTGAAGAGGGTGGAACTTGATGTTTAAACTGTATATATTTTAAACATGTTTAACTGTAGTTTATTCTTACACCATATTGACCATTCTGGATAAACTCCAACAAACACTCATTATGACGTAGTAGGGAAACAACACATAAATTTGCTACATGGATTGTTCTAAGTTCTAAGTATCCATATAATAGACAGTTGAGTAGCAACACTAAACCAATCAAGTGGAATGTTGCTTCATCATTGTCTCTTGATATATGACAACTTGCACTTGTTGTTGATAATGTGTAAAATAAAGAGCTTTCCATTCTGCAGACTATCAACGCAATGTTCTCCGCTACCATCCCAGTTAGCCCCTAACGAGCGTGTCCTACAATATTTGTCCTGATCTCAGCTTGGAACAAAGTGTGACCGCACGTGAAAACCAATTTGATTCGGTCTGTGATTCGTGGCACCATGGATCCCCTGAAAAGGCATAAAAAGTGGGTTGGATGGATGATTTTTGCAAAGCAAGCTCTAGCTCTTTGTCGATGTTGAAATTTCACACCATGAATCTGGAGACTTTCCCGAATCAAGCTATCACCCAAAGCCCGGCATCACCATCATTTTGGGAGGAACCACAATATGCCTTGTCGACGTTGGGAAACAAACAAGTTTGGCAACCGAGCTCCTCCCTTGCAAATGTCACCTTCAGAGTGCCAAGTGTGAGCATTCTTGGCAATGTAGAGCATTAACTAAGTTTGCCCAGCAGGAGACATTTGGATTTTTGCTTGCTGTCTTTGTTGGAGACATCCTGCAAAGCAAGAAGGCGTGTTTTTTTTTCACCACTGTCTAAGCGAGGCCACATCGATGTTCCATGTGATGGACAACTGTGCCGTCCAACAAGCCCCCTGAAAGCTCGGAATCTAAGGCAGGCATGTCAACATCCCTACCTGAACTTGACCCGGCGACAGGATGTCCCTTGGCAGCAGATTGTATCGGAGCGGTTGTATGAATCCAGACTTCGGATGGCCTGAAAGAGGAGGAAATAGATGAACATAGTAGGGAAAGGTGTAGACATGTGTAGACTGTACTGGTAGGATCTTCTGGGAATTGCACAAATCAAACTCTGATGACAAGTCCAGAACAAGAGTCACTCTGATGGCAGGTCAGGTGGTGCGGTTTTGTTTGGTCCAAAGGCTTGACAAATTCCTGCAACCCGATTTCAAGTACCTTAAAATACCTTAAAGCATGGGGCATGACCTCTTAAAACCTAGAACAGGTATATGTAACGTACCCATTGTCCGAGAGATGTTCGTGGTGTCCGACTCCGCGGCGAGGAGCCCTGGTGGCTGGATTGATAGGAATAGGGAAAGATACGATACCAGGGGCCCTCAAAACCATGAAAAAAACAACGATTTTCACACACACACACAAAAGCCATGTCTTTTGCTAGGGAAAACCAGGTTTTTGATGGTTTGTGGGGCCCCGGGAAAACATGGATATGGATATGCCCAGACACTCCATGTATGATATATATGCCTACATTGACCCCTTTTCAACCACCCCAATGTATGTAAATGTGCCAGTCCCATGGAATGTTTGGGATGGGTTTTCAGGAAACTCCTGACCATGCAGGTAGGTATCTCTCATTCATGATCCCCCCATATGGATGGCGGACACTGGGTATATAGTCTACCTGAACAGTGTTGCTTGTTTACATGTCTGGAGTTCGGTGCTTGGAATTCTGGTCCATGTTCAAGCTCCACTGGATAGCATGGTCAACAACGAGTCCATTGGCACCTTCCAGCATGTAATAATACTTTCCCAGCATGTCTTCTTGGTTAAACGTCTCATTTTCTTGCTTCATGACAGTCACAACTGCTCAATTTCTTTTGGGTTTTTCCGTCTCGAACTCGCGGACAGAAACGATTCCGTCGCGGCCGAACGTGCTCGTCGCGACCCCTCCGCGTTGATCGTAGACGCAGACGCAAGGATTGAAGTGCATTCGTGACCGTACCTGGCCCCCTAAGGGGTGTTTGATCATGGCTCCACAGCTCCCTATACCCTAGGCCTCCAAGTACCTTCTGAGAAGGTGTTTGGGGTGGGTTTGGAGGGGACTGTGACGGCTTGCATGTGCTCCAGAGTGGGCGGGAGGTGGATTCACCATGCCGGCCTTGGCTTAGCAACGCTGGCTCACAACATGCCTTGGAAGTTAGTGATGCCGATGATGGCACAGGGTTTTGAAGATATGTGTCACTCCGCGCTGAGTCAGATCTCAGTTCCACGAGACTTTCACATACGGCTCTTTAATGGATACCCCGAATCACCCCTTTTCGGAGCTATTGATCAAACACCCCTTTCAGGAGCCCAGGTACTTTCATATACTTTCAAGAGTTAGTTCCGTCGCATCGATTTTTTGAAGAGAACTATCCCTTAAAGGTCCATGTGGACCATTCCGGCCATCTTGGAGGTGCTGCTGTCGCCGAAAGACCATTCTCTGGAGGTATACGAGTGCTTCACCTCCCTTCGACCATCCGAAGGACGGAGGTACCTGGACCAACCTGGACCCTATCCCAGGCACTCTATGTATGGATATGTATGGAATATATGCCTACATTGACCCCCCAAACCACCCCAATGTAGGCATATATACTGTATTCCATACATGGAGCATCTGGGTATGATGCGAAGGCCAAGCACTCCGCGACCAAGGAACCGCCCGTTTTGCCCAAGGAGGATGTGCTGGAAGGCTCCCTGACGACACTCTTCGAGTGTCGGTTTGCTTCGATGATGATCGATTGATTTCACTTGGATGGAAGACAGGACCTGAATCCGGCCGATTGGCCGTAGAATGGGTTTTCAAATGTGTTCAAGTTGATTGGCAAGCAGTTGAAAAGCCCCTACAAGAAGGAACCAAACGGCCAGAATGGAGATTGGGGGGGGTGTAGAATTGAGACATGTTGGAGCTGGAAAGATCGTCAGAAGCTCCTTGTCACTCCAAACCCCTGTGAAGTCGTCCTCACGGCGGCTTGGCCATGGGTTTTTGGAGCATTTTGGGTCTCCAACAAGAGGCTTTCAGCAGAGCCAGCTGGCTTTGACACTGAAACCTGGGGGGAAGGTTGTGTGGCTCTTGCATGATGTTCACTAGCGGCCATGAGTTTATTGTGCCCGACTCACCAGGTGCTGAAGCACCAGGCACCCCGTTCGATGTCTTGAAAGGATGGGGGTCCATCAACCACCAAACTTGGGGCTGCCATTTACTCTGAAACCACTGTACAGACCTAACAGTGCCCTTTAGAGAGAACCTCGGAGCACCAAACTTGGGACTTGTGCCATCTAGCTACCAAAACCTATTTATTCGTGATTGTATATGATTATAATACTTTAACTCACCAGCACCCTGAGTTCGTGTCGCGTCGGTGACTCCCAGCATCTCCTGTGCGTCCAGCATCTTGCCTTTCGCGCAGCCAGGTCTCCAGAGCATGCATGAGCAAAATGTGTTTAAGAGACCTGGCTATCATGGAGCTGACCCTTTGCGGCGAAGGCCAATCATCCATTTGCCTATACCAGGACCTTCCAAGCCTAGTGGTTTTTGGACACCTCCTAACCTCTAAGAGGCTATTTATAGACATCTCTTGGAGGGTCCTGGTATATGGTTGATGTTACAGGACTAATACGATTTTCCATGATAAGCCTAATAGTTATAGCTGATGTTACTGGGGCCCTGCCGCAGCTAGACTGCGACAAGACATGGCCTCCATGAGAAGATTGGTTGCTTTGCATTCATTTGCAGTGCAGGTTTGGCAGAACATACCTGGACCTTCTTTCGGGGTGTCCTGAACAAGGAGGTCCCAAGAAGTAGTGGGCTGGGGCGAAACCAGCCAGGTGACCCCGACAGGTCCAGGTGCTGGTCATTCAGAGATTTGAACGGGCATGGGGCGGTTGCTGGATCTTGACATCGTTTCCAAAGACCAGCGGATGAAGACCAATTCGATCGGTTTCGATGTGACTCTTGGTGGTGGTTCTCCATGGCCCACGGAAGACCATGCGGCCGACCTTTGACTCCCGATCCGCAAGAAACATCAGCGAGCCTGTGCTCCACTTCTTATAAACCTACACCTCAACAATGGCAAGCCAGACTCTCTATATAAAGAATCGGGCACCAGCCTCAGGCGTGCAAACAACTCAATATGTTTAAGCTTGCAGGTTGGACCCTGATTTTATAGAGGAGATATCGTAGGTATGAAGCTTGCTCATCCAAATTATGTGGACTATAGTTTCTGATAGTTTGACATTGATTGCATGGAGACAATGCACTCTATCGTAGCTCAATCCAGATTCTACAGAAGCAACTGTCTAAGTAGATTACAGTTGCTTTCGTTTCCGGGAGCAGCCACTATAAAATCACAAACCAACCTTCTGATATGTTTATGTTTTTATCTCACTTTGCTGATTCAAAATTTGCACCCGGGAACCCTATGTGGCAATTTTCCCAACGAGTTCAACATGACGTTTTATGTCCCAAAAAGTTGGGCGCATGTGAGTTGCACCCCTAATTCACAGCGACATGCTATTATACATAGAGTGTAGCACATTACTGTACCTGTAACAGTTGGTAATAATATCTATATTTTTGAGCATGGCCTGCAACTGAACCATCATCATCCACTGTTGCAGGTAGACTCGGATAAACCCAAGTTATACAACCTTCTTGTTCAGGAAGACTTGGGGAGTCAGTCCACACCGCGGAAGAAAAGTTGTGTTTCTAAGGAAAGCGGCGCTGCATTTGATCGTCACCATGCTTCATGATGAGCACACCAGCATCCCGCGAAATACCTTCATGCCACGCGGCAGCAAACGAAGGCTCGCACTTTGTGTGTGGGATGTTTTGTGTACTCATACAGAGCTCAGATGACGTTTCTTGGTTGTTTTTTATTGGTCTGAGGGGAATTCCAGTAGTCTTGGGATCGTAGGAAGGTGGGCTTCAGTAGCTCTGGGTGAAAGTTGGGGACTGGACTTGGGGAAATGTACAAATGTTCTACTACGCTGAGCCTCTGTGGACCTTAGTCCACAGCTCATGGAGTCATTGACTTTCACACTTCCTACTTCTTGTAGATAATCGACTTATACGTTACGTTTCATTGTGTTTGCTCGATATGGATGGTGGACTTCTCAGCGTTTGAGCATTTGAGACACACGCCACAGCCATTGAAGTGAATCAGCAATGTTGTTTTTATTCATTGTTGTTATGGCCGGAACCTTGTGTGTGTATGTTTTGGGAGGTATCATCTGACGGGACATATGACAGGAATCATAGCCATCAGAATAGCCATTGGGTTCCGCAAAAGAAGCTTTGTTTCCCAGACATGATCCATCCAGACTAAGATCCGATTTGGTACTCAGGTGAACTGGTTCCGTACTTCAGAGCTAACACACCATGATCTTCCAACTGTAGCAGGCCACCAGCACTCGACTTCACAGGCCACCACCTGTCACTTTCAAGTCTCCATGTTCAGCCACCAGTCGTGTGGGAGCCTCCCAGTGGGCCTACCAACTTTCCCGAGTCGTGTGCGCACTCGGTCTTTGCATCCCAAGACTGCAGGGGGTCAGGGGGTGTTTGTCCTTGGTCAGCTCTCTTCACGCATCGCTCAGGAAGCTGGATGCGAATGGTGATGGTCTCGTTTCCATCGAGGACACCGGATCTCGGTGGAGACCACATCACCGGGTATGGTCGCGAGGGTTGGCAAACTTTCCTGCTCTTGGGATCACACCGCCAGGCCAAGAGCAGGGGGCCCCAGATCCAAGAAGGGGCTCATCTCTCTCTTCCCTGTGTTGTTGTGGTTGTTGGGAGAGGGAAGGGAAATTTATGGCCTCACCGGAAGGACACCCTGCGATGTTCCATTGGTAGACCGCTCTAGCATGGTGGCGTCTAGCATGGTCTACCGTACAAAGCGTGTGAATTCAACAACCTGAGGTCCATTCACAAGAAGCAAAAGTGTAGTGTCATAATGTGTCATAGACTGTTGATTATATAATTGATAGCCCCCCTATGGAGATTTAGAAACAATCACCGCCCCCGCCCCGATCTCTACAATACTGGGGAAGCACCTTGGAACATTAATGTCAGTTACATGTTCCCTACATTTTGAGGGGGTGGTGGAAAATGTAACTTGCATTTACTGAGCTTCCCCCCCCGCAACTTTCATGTTACATTTCGGGGGTAGGAGAATCTAACTTACATTTCCCAAGGTGCCCCCATCACTATAGGGGTGTGGCGGGTGTGGATGATGTAAGGCCAATCCTGGGCCATCCTGGTAGGAGGTTGAATTCATCCGACTCCGCAACATCGAGCCATGACATCCGACTCTGCAGGAGCTGGAGGACTTCTACGGCGAATGCTCGGTCGCTTTTTTTAGAAGACCGACACATCGGATTTGGGTGTGGGGTCTTTATTGGGTGTTTGTATGTGTTCATGGGGAAGACTTCAAGAAGGATTGCATCATGTAGCTCTTGGGAAATAATGTGTGAAGGAGGCATTTTGAGGACCGATGCAGTGTGTGTGTGTATGCAAGCAAGGAGATATATGATATAGGGAGATGGTTCGTTTGGGTGTGGCCTATTCCAAGAGCAACCTGTTTGTGACGAGAAAAACAAGAAACACATGGAAACCACCGGTATGGATGGTTCGTTGGTCCTTCGGAACCCTTTGGTGCTGACGCTTGGTGCTCTCCTCGTCCGGTCACACGTCTGCCAGTTCAGCTCGAATCAGATGCCCGGCCCGAGAGATGTGTATAACAAAGATGGTGTTGGGATAGATGTTCCTTCTTCCCATGGGGGGTCGTCTATTTGGGCGGTCCTATTGAAATACACATCCTTGAATCGTTTCCAGATGTTCCTTGTCCGGTCATTCGGTGCCTTGTTGGGAACCAACACCCTGATGTGACCGCATTGCGAGAGCATTTGAGGCACACAAAGCGGTGTATGCTGGTGAGGAAGATGACAATTTGAATGCGTTTACTCAAAAAACACACATCGTACTGTAGGGAACCAGTGTCAAAAATACTCAGACCGTAGACGAGAGAACCCTGATGCACCGACTAGGCTATAGGGTTTCTCCGAGATGTGCGGCGCCGCACCGGAAACTATAAGATCCGTTAAGCAATGGTTCCGATGATCAAGGGAATTTGGAGTCGCTGCCGATTCGTAGCGGTGAGTTTACTTCACATCAGAATCCTTTGGAGAAAGAGGCATTTTTCTGTGGAGGATCGCCAACTTGATGTAGCATGACCATGACTTCATTTCAAGCTGTGTCTTATACTGACTCATTTTGCCAGAAATGTATCGAACACCACAGCATTTCCTCCTTGAAAGATGTCTTTTGCCCCTTGATGTAAGAGTTCTCCTACACCATTTGGCCAAGCAAGACCCTGCTAGTTGCAGAAGCCTTACAGTCTCTTGGATGTCTTTTGACCCCATGACTAGTGATGACTACTGACCGTCACCAGTCCGTCTCTGCCGAGGCGTTAGACCCAGCGATGTTCCATGAGGAAGGGCGAGAAGCCCATGGCACCCCGGTTCCGGGGCGAGCGCGAGACTTCCCGGTCGACCGGTTTTGGGGACCATCGACCCCCGACGGAGTCCATCGACCCTCGACGGGTTCGGACGCTTCGGTGGAACGTGTTCGGTGGAACCGTGGCGTGGCGGGGCGACCGTCGTCTTGGGGGGGGGAATTCTTGTCCCCACAGGATGGACAGTTCCGTTGAGCTCATGTCCGTCCCCTGAGCTGTAACAGTCCTAAAAGCGATGATCACGATTTTGGAGCAAGGTCTGCAACTGAGCCATCATCATCCATTGGGCGCAGGTCATGGGAGATACCCAACGCTTAAAGCTGTATTGTCTGGGGAAACTGCTTTTTGGAGTCAGGGAGATCCGTGGATACCAGCCATATTGCAGATACCGCAGATAGCTCGGTGAGGAGACTGGCATGTTGGCTCGGCTCATTGATCTTGGTGGCTGCAGTGGGGGAAGGGTCATATAGCTTATCCTCCCTCCAACAACACGTGAAAGTGGACAATGGCCCGTGGACGGACCACTTTCCGAAGACCAAGCACCAGTTAACCCAACAGCATTCACAGGAGTATACTGTACGTTCTAGATGGTTCTAAACTAACATCGAGCTACCTGGACCCTCCAAAGTACTTTTAGCATGTTTAGCGCTTTTAGATCCTATCTGAGCCTATGATTGATACTTCTACAACACATTTCCTCCGCGGCTTTGAGACTCCAGGTAGTAGACATTGTTGGAGATTCCGATTCTGCACTTTCAAGAGTCAATCTGACTGGGAGCTATGGGGAGCAATATGAGCGAATTGAATGGCTAAGTTATATAGTCCGACCTGGCTGGACTGGACTTTGCTGGACTGGATGTGAAGGGTGTCATTGAACGTTGAATGGTTCTTCAGAGAGGAACATACATTTAAAGTTCAAGGAATGCAAATACATCCAGATACCAATGTGAGCCAATAAGTCCAATCCTTGAGGGCTCCAAGAATATCCTTAGAAGGTGGTTAGACCCCCCAAAACCCACCCCAACCTCTTGAGCAGGCACTCGTAGTTGGAGCCCTAGGGAATATAGGCAACCAAGATCCAGCTTGAAACCCCGGTATGTTTTTTCTTTTCAAGAACTGGGATTGCGAGAAGGGCGCCTTGGCCTTCAGAGGTATCAGCTACACAACCTTCTTAGCTGCCACATTCGACAAGGGCAGCTCGGCACATCAGTTTCGGTTGACAGTTAGTTTCCCTCTTGGGAGGACGGGCACAAGCTGATTTATAAAGGTCTCCGATGGTGTTTCTACATGCGCAGAACAGGTTTGACCCCGGATTGTTGGGGCAGTTTGGGTGGGTTCCCCAAGGGATCCCGATGTTTCAGCTTTGTGACTGTCTAAAGCTTCCAGCACTTAAATACTCAGCAGACAGTGCTGGGACCCTGTAGTCAATAAGTCGGCAGTAAGCCCCAAATGAGCTCCATGCATTGCCTCGTTTGCAGGCAGTTTTTCGCAAGGGAAAATTCCAAACGGTTGCTGTTTGATCCGCAGCGGGACAAATTCCGGTGCCCAGAAAGCACCCAATTGGTAAAGTCCATTGTCTGGGCAGATACGATGTTGGGACATGGGTTGTGTTGTGAATGGTCCAAAGGAACGCTTAGTTCATTCATTGTTACATTGTTCACTCTATATGTGCAGGGATATTTGGCACTCCGTTTGCCCCCATTGGGCCACCCGTTAGACAATTCCTGGTCACAGACGTTCCTTTCCCCACAGACAAAGACGATGCACATCTTCCGAATTGGATCGCACAACTCCTGGCATCTCCACACCACGTTGGAGCACTCATGTCACACACCACGTCGAGCGACGAGCAGTCCAAAACGGGCCCTTTTTGGCACGGTCGGGCCCTTGGAGGGCGGATCAATCGGATCCCAGATCGGCACGATCGTGAGGCCAATGGGTGGGAAAGCAGGTTTGCAAGGCGGCCTTTACCCAGTTCGACTCCAATGGAGACTTGGAAGTGCAAGACATATATGGCAGTATCATGGCTTGATAATTCCAGCCACAGTCCAACGATTAGTATATGCATATGACTAAGACGGACAGTAAACACAGAGTTGATTACTTGTATTTGTTGTTCGACATGTCCAAAGGTATTTTGTTCCTTCAGTGCGTGCATTGTTTTATCATCTACAGAAGCCAAACTCACTTGGTTTCATGGCGTTCAATGTGCACTTCAAGACAATTACACGTGACCTCTTGACAAGAACATAGAAACGTCCTCATTTGCCGCACATTGTGCAGATTTGGGGCCCCACGTTTGGGGTGTGAAGTCACATGGAGTCTCCAAGCACCGCCGGCTTTCCCACATGGAAAGCGTGCATCACCATCAAATGCTTGGGCTGATTTGTTGTACACGCTGGCTCCCCCAACACGGAGTGGAAAAAGGGCTCCCTGGAAGATAAATTTCCTCTAGAAGCCGCACTTGGCCTGGACGTGCTGAAGCAAGATCCGTGATTTCAACGAGAAGGTGGAACACACGGCAGATTTGGATGAATTAATGGAATTCCCCGATGGAGCACATGCACACAGACAACAATTATGTATATATTATGATCCACTTGACTATATAAATTATGTGCTGGATCCAAATTGGGCCACAAATGCAAGACAACTTGCCAACACACCAAACATGATTCTCTTTGAAGTTTTATCCAAATAACATAACAATGCCGACATCCCTGTGGTTCCTTCATCTCTATGTTTCCATGATATTTGCTGCAACACTGCTTCTATTGACAACCTTTTACTCAAAAGTACTTCCCAGCTGCTCGGACATGGTCTTCCACGTTCGCTGCACATACGCGCGCAAATCTTAACAGCTATTCTTACTAACACTTGTGGTGGGACTGAGGAGACGAGCATTTGACGCTGCAAGAACTTCTGGCCTCAAATAGCTCCGGGGGCTGAGATTAAGTGATTCTCCCGATGTCATGTGGAGTGATGGCCTCCCGCTGGAATGCGAACATATACTACGAAAAGATGCGGGAGTGGGAGGTTGGACTTGTAAACAGATGTTTCAGGGGTAACGACACCGAAAAGAACTGAAGGTAAGCATTTCAGCGAACATATCCGATTTCTGCAGTGGATTTCCGACGTGAACTCGCCGAACGAGCTCCAAACGCTTGGAGCTCCAAACCCTGGATAGGGCCCGACCTGGTGCGTTTGGACCCACAGCCATATGTGTTTCAATTCAGCCACAGAACACTCAAGCACTGCAGAAGAGCACTCAGCTGTTTGCCCACTCTTCCCCCTGGTGCTCTACGCTACTGCCCAGATGGTAGGGGGTCGCTCGTTCTTCCTATGAACATGTTCTGGAACCACGAAGGAACTCACCAACTGGATCCAACTGGAAGAAATGCTACACTGCACAGAGAATACATCCCACTTTCTTGACCTCAAGAATTGCTTGCTTGCCCAGATCTCCGAAGATCTGTCGCCCTCGGGCCCGGACCTGCGATGCGAAACATATCTACGTATCGGCCTCCTGACCCCTTCGCGCATGCGAAGCGGCCCTTCGGAACGGATGCCGCAGCGGATCCGGGAACCGGATGCACCACCACCCAAGGTGTGCTAGGGAGGCTCCATCCATTAGACGCTGAGAAGCTGCTGAGTGAGCCTCGGAGTGACAGATCGGCACCCGGAGGTCGGTCGGAACGGAACGGCCAACACCCCGCCCTTTGGAAAAGCCGGACTCGTCGACCTGCGGTTCAGGTAGACTCAGATGATATGTCACCCGGCCTGAAGAGGCAAATAACATGGGGACAAAAATGGAATCCAAGAGTCTACATGAGCCAGAGATTCGGGATCCCAGGATGTTTGTTTGTTTTGGAGGGCTTGGGGTTAATAAGGTTTAGGAAGGAGCAAGATACCCTCTGGAACAAAGGTGAAAGTGGAAAACCTCCCTGTTTGTGGATGTTCGTAGAGGAACATGCTCCTTCCAGAGGCCATGCCACCCTATGCTTGTCCACTCCCCCTCCAATTGCTCACCTGGTATCGTCTGGTGCTTCGCCGCTTCATGGATTCATGTACGGCATTTGCAGAGAAAAGCCTGGCATTGTGTTTGTTTTTGGATTGCATGGTGAATCTTATGTTGTCAGGAAACATGGTTTGTGTCTCATTAATCCCTGATGTGCGTTTTGTGGCCTTCCAGTTCTTTGCTACCTCTCAGTCAGTGGATAGGGTTTAACTTTTGGGGATTGGTTTTCCGACTAAACATGAAGAGGTTGGGAAATATTTTATAGTATTTTATATAAGCAAACTGGGGAGTCAGCCTAAGTGGTGGGATAGAGCTGGGGAGTGCTTACTGTGGTGAGCTGTAAAAACGTGAAAACCAGGGACGATGGCTTTCGCTCTTAGTTGTTACACTTCTTCCTGCACCCTCCAACAGGTGTTTCCTGGGGACAAGTCGTGTGCCCACAAACCACCTGTTAGGGTTCCCAAAACACCACCTGTTTGAAGTCGGGTCCTGGTTGGGAATCCCCATTGAAAACGAGGGATCTACAGTGGTCTCGATGCATCAGAAAATGGGTCGGTCTCGAGGCACTGAGCTTCCTCGCCCTTTGAACAGCAGAGTGGCCATGGTTCGATCATTCATCTCATCACTCAGGAAACCGAGGCTTCATCTAGGTCACCGGTGCTGTCACCAGGTCCACTCAACTGGTCGTGTCGTACTTGGCACCTTGTGTGTCTCTTGGCACTGGCACCACATCGACAGGAAGATCACCTCTGCGGTTCTCAAAGTATATGCGTCCTAAATCGGGTTCTGAGAGACTCTGCATGTGGCATGATGCCTCCCCAGTGGTTTCTGAGACATGAGAGACTCTGTGGACCATTGAAGCAATGACTCCTACACCACCTAAGTTCACCATGCAAGAATATGCAAGAGCTAGGCGCTCTACAGGTCCAGTGTGACCCAGATCCAAACCAGGTCTGAGAACCTTATTGAGTCCTGTCAGTATGACCCACCCCGGTCAAAGTGAGTTCAAACTCACTATACCCTACACCTCCAGTCCAAGTACCTCCTCAGAAGGTATTTGGACCCTCCTGGCACCCACCCCAGTCCCACCTTCTCAGAAGGTACTTGGAGGCCTAGGGTATAGGGAGCTGTGGACTTTCGGACGCCGAGCTCGCCTCGGCCAGCCATCTGCCATCCATCTGCCGACCCGGTGGCGGTCGCGGTGCGTGAACAGTTCCCTCGACCTGGTCGAGCTGCCTCACCAAGGACCTGGATACCAACAATGATGGAGTCATTGCGCCCCGGACCATGGGGACCAGGGGGACCAGGGTGGTCCATGGGGACCGCGAACTGGTTCCGGTGTTCGGGCTGACGGAAAGAAATGAAGGGACCGACCCAGGATCCCTGTGTGCCCGAGCAGTAAGTTCAAGTGTGCCCTGCTCTCAGATTCCCTTAGCGATATGGTTGTTTTGGTATGTTTGTGGGTGTTTTGCCCCAAGCAGGTCCACCGACGCACGCATACTATATCTAGACTCTTCTAGACCTTCTATATACAGATGGACGCCACCAACTACCAACCATAACGGCAGTAAGAAAGGACAATAAAGTTGCATTCCAAAGAGGCATGGGGGTTCGTATACAACTTAGTTTGTTTACAGAGTTAGTCCTGTGAAACCTGGATCTTCTCACTGTTCAACAAATCATACCAGTACCATCCAGCATCGCTCTCCCCAATCAAAAAGAGCCCTTGCACAGGAGTTCAGGAGCTGAGCTGGTGAGGGTGGCGGTCTTCGAGAAAGCAACATCCCAGATCCCAGTTGCTACCATATCCAGGAATTGGGAGCCATGTTAATTTAATGCTAACAGTTTTCCTCTATGGAACCACTGGCTATACCTCAGCAGGGGAAAAAGTGAGTCAGACGGGTAAGCATGAACTGAACGCATCTTTTATAACAGTTTGGTATTCGAGCAACAAAAACCTGAACTACCAGGGCCTTCAAAGCCTCTTTAGGGTTTAAGCGACCTCATTCGAAGGTCCTGGTGAAGCAACTTTGAATACTTATAGTTATAATCACAAATTGATCCAACAAAACTCAGTTAAAACATACCTTCCTCAAAGTGGCCTTTTTGCATCCTGGTTTGAGGTAACTTAGACCTGCAAAAGGTTAATTCAGGGACTCCCAAAAGGTCACGTACTGACGCTGAATGCTTGGGATCCACTGGTCTTTGACCTCATTGACTTCCCTCCGGTCCATCATCTTCAGAGTCTTTACATGGCCTTGATGGCGGATGTTTAGTGTCGAGTACCCCGTTCGCAGCACTAAGGATTTCCAGGAGTTTTACACGATGATGCGTGGGGTGAGCCATGGGGCATCGACCTTTCTGCACCCTGGCTAGGGCAAACATGATGACATGAACCAACTGCTGAGAAGTGTCAATGGGAGAGTACTTGCCTATTAAAAGTCGTTTGGATTTGCCCAGAACTCGAGTTCCTTCGGTTCAAACGATCGAGTGACTCTCGAAACTCCGGACGTGAAGGTCAGGCTGCGAAGGGCCCCTGGTCAGGATGGTGACTCTAAACCCTCAACTGACCATGTCTGGTCTATTCTGTTCATGTTCGGTGGGAAAAATACAGGGTCACAGAGTTGCCATGACCGGCCTTTGGATAGAATTGCTGCTTTGCATGTGGATCCACTGTAGATCCGTAAGTCTTGAGTTTCCAGAGAGCAACACTGTAGACCTACTGTAGACTGTAGACCTCGAACTCTTGATTCCTTGTGCTCATCTCTACACCACGGTGTAAGTGTAACTAAAGCAACAGCATGTCATTTGGAAGCCCCCACACGGGTGCATCTCCCGCCAGGAGATGCTCCAGGATGCTCCAGAGGTATGTCCAGGTACCAGGACCCTCCAACAGGTGGTGTTTGGGGACCCTAGGCACAGGTGCTTTGTGGGCACACGACTTGTCACCTGCAGTATCGAGTCGGGTGTTGCTTCTCGGATTCACCACATGTGACGTACGTGCGGTGTGTAGCCACCCATGGTGTGGAACACACCGACCCGTCCGGCGTGGCGTGGTGGAACCCGACCCCCTGGGTTCGGTTCGGGCTAGGTCCTAGGTCGACCCAAAACATCCGGTCGCTGCCCAGTCGACCGATTTGGGGGGTCTCCCAGCTGCCCAAGCGCCCTGTGCACCGATGTTTGGACGTTGGACCCACCGAAAGGGATGGAAGCGCCCGTCTTGGAGGATCAGGTTGAGTGGAGAGGACTACCAAGCCTAAGACCTTCCAAGATCTTGGATATAATCAATCTTTAAAGGTCGGGATATGTATCAAATATTAAGGACTTATATAATATGCCTCCTGGCCGGTGTTGGATGGATGAGCAGGCAGGCAGACACTGGTGCGGTTGCCTAGTATAGCCACTACAAAGCATCCTCATCCAACGCTGGGATTCTCCCAAATGTTCCGGATAAAAACGGGAAATCCAACAGAGCATGCTTTCCACCCAATCCAACAGAGGTTGAAGAACCCTATCGGCTCTCCCATAGGCACCCCAGGTGACAGGTTCCATTTACGGCCACTTACCCTGGCGATTCCGTTGGGCGAAAACCGCTCCTCAGGAAAAGGTCTGGCTCCATGGCCTCCTCCGTGAAGCGCAGCCGGACGCGCAGCGATCAAACGAGCACCTCCTCCACGGTCAACTGATGTCCCGGGCTTTGCAAGTCACGATGGGCGAGAGGTCCCGGTTCGCGGTGTAACAGCTGAGGTTCGCGTCATGTTTGGCGAAGTTGGGCGAAGTTGGCCTTGGAAGGACTTCTTTGTTCGGCAAAATTGCATCACGCTTGATTTGACAAGGGTGAGGATGGGATCCAGATCAATCAAGCAGCTTATCTCACGCAGAATGCTGAATGCTTCACACTTTTGAGGGAAAAGCATGAGGAAGCATGCGGAAAACCACGCCCCCCAAAAAAACAGTGGGCCTGCTGGCTTGCTGTTCTTGCAGCCCTCCTGGCACCTACATATATGAAGTCTCCTTCCTCACCTTCTCTGGATCCATAGGGTGAGGGCAGACCGCTAAAAACAAAAGAATAGGGCCTCCTTCCCGCGCGCAGCTTCGAGCTGCGCGTCGAGCCGGCACAAGCCGAGGCTCCGAACCGTCCGAGTTCGTCTGAGTTTTGCGGTTGGATCAGCCGATGATGGCGGAACTCCATGGGAGCTGAAATTGGCTTGATCATGGGGGCGTCCATGATCTGAAGATGTCGTTTTTTCCATCAGTTTTCTGTGTTCCAGGGGCTTAAACTGATCCACTCACTTGACATTGATCTTTGGAGATCCTTTCTGGAGCCCTGGTCTTCACCTGAAGTAAGCTTTCATTCTAGGACCAGTAGGAGATGTTTGACACATGGCAGACTGGTTGAGTTGGGTCCACGGTCCACTCTCCACCGGTCCAGGTCTTTTTTCGCACCAAATAAAGATTGGTCTCAGACCCGGTGTCGATCGGTGCTGTTTGTAAAGGATTGTGAATAACTCGGAAAAAGACAATCAGCCAGGAGTCACACCTCAGGAGTCCTACGTGAGTGGAGTAGCTGGGCACCCCGCACCTGCATTAAGCTCGCACCCCCTCTGAAACTGCTGGAGGAGGGAAACAGAGCATACGCACCTTCCGGAACTCGGTGTCACCTAGCTGGAAGCCCTGACTCTACGTGGATTTGCAGCCAGGACACCCCTGACAGGATGGTCCAGGTATTGGAGGCCCACTATAGGACTATAGGGCCCACTGGAGATACCACTTGACCACCCTGATGAGGCAGAACTGCTGAACACCTCATCGGCTGACGGCGAAAGGGGCGGTTTCAGCACTTGTTTGGCCCGCAGCAGGGCCCACACGGCCTGTTCATCTCCCCGTTCCTCGGCGGATCCAATGGCCTCAGGTGGCCCCGGAAAGCACAACGAAGTTCGGTCCAAATCGACTCCTTTGCTATTCCCCAAAAGGACCGGCAGTTGTAGAAGCAGAACTTGGTTCGTGGCCGACATCACAGTCATCGCAGAAAGCAATGCCAAGATGTTAGAAGTGGTGGGAACAGCATACAACAGCTATTGGGACACACAAACTTGTTTAATTTGTGTCTACATATTGACACTTGGCTTTTCTTGAGACTTGGCATGGGAAGGTAGAATAGACAGATAATGTCTAAATCGGTCATCTCCATTCTGGCACGCAAGCCCGATGTGTATTGCAACATTGAGACTACCACACTGATTACTGTTGCTGATCATTATAATGTGTGTTTTCTCTATCTCTGATTGTTTGTGTTCGTAAGTTTACGCTGTGTTTCTTTTTATACACAGCAAAGTCTAGGGGTCCAGAAACGAGGCTGGTTCTATGGCACATACCATTGAAATGGTTGGATGCTCCAAGATCTTCACACCGGCGGCCAATGAAGAAACTCAAAAGACGATCTCCAAAAGAGAGGAACTGTCAGGTTTCTGCTTTTCGTTGGATTCCAACTCCGGCTCCTTCCTCCAGAACCCTTTTCATCCTTCGAAGGGGGATCCACGTCTTCAAGAACCTGTGAACCGCTACAACCGATCCGATCCGACTCCCGAGTCCCATTGGCTTCCGAAAACGCCACCGGTGGCGAGACGCCGAGACGATGGGTGTGGTGTTCGTTCTCCTCCGAGGACGGCAGGGGCTTTTGGCTTATGTTCATTTAATCTCAGAGGTCACTGGATGAGGTTCCGTTGAACTTTCCCAGACAGATTCACGGGACTGGCTGTCAAAAAATGTTGATTCCTCCCTAGAAGCGTTAACACAAAGTTTTTCAGAATCCAGGAAAGGAGGCTGGCAGGATATGTGGCCAAGAGTTTGGCAAAACCAATGGTTTCTTGATATTCCATATATTATATATGGTTGGGACCACAAGTTGTGTGAGTGACACCATATCCTGTCAGTTGATTGAGAGGAGGGTTTGTTGGTCTTGTTTGGGATCGAGCAAATCCAGTGACCCATGACGAGACAGATTGATCGATGCGGTGTTCTTCTCGTTCTGCGTGTCCGAGATTGCAGCGAACCTTTGCGGGTTAGCAAAACCGCTAAGACTCACCCAGATCCCTTTTTGCTCATGTCCAAGTTATTTGTGGGGATGATGTTTTTGGATGTTCAGGTTGAGTAGTCCAGAATTTTGTTTGCTTGGATGTAAGTGCAAGTGACCCTCAGATAGCTGAGCAATGGCACAAATGGACGACAACCTCAAACCTTGTTTTAAAAGGACGGTTGGCAATGTTTTGGTTTTATTGGCTCTTGGTCCAAAACTGGCAACTCTACGTCGACGTACTGCATGCTTTGGAAGGATCACAATGCTTCCACTGCCTGAAGGCTGAGTCTTGCGCACTTGGATGACGACCGAGTGGCGCACCCGCCCGACGGAAGGATGGAGTGTCTCCAAGGACCCACCGAGCCATGAGCCCACCAGCCATGCAGGTTCGGTGTGTTTCGTCGTCCTGAGCGGCACTGCCAGACATGACAGGACTGAAGTGACACCGTACCTACAACAGAGCAACTGGTGAAATAGGTCTTCTCATGTCTTCTCCAATGGAGCAGCCACAGTGGCACATCATGGCACATCCATCCTTCTTTGCAAATTCAGCGCCACACAGGCGCTCTTTCCGCGACACAGATTCGATCTGCGCAATGTCGGAAGGTCTGTGCAGCTAGCCCTGCCACTTCTCCTTTGTTGTTCGATGCAAACAATCCAAACGATCTCAACGGAAGCAGAAACCACACCGAGAGCTTCTCGCTCCGACCAAGAACCGAGAGCGAGCGAACGCGGCGAACGAGCGGTTTCCGCGAGCAAGACCCACCGACTCTATGGGTTTTTGAAACGTGTGAGTCACGTTTCTCAGATTGACTCTCCCTAAACCTCCAACATGCTGGCCCATCTCCTCAGGTTCAGTGGTTAGACCCCCCTGGCACCCACCCCAAGCATCTTCGAAAAGGAGGTGGGCCAGGAGCCCTAGGATCTCTATGCTTTTCTCTTTACGTTCATTCACGGTCGGTTTTTGAAGCCCCCCCGTCCTGGTCCCTCCTTCCGGCGTCAGGATGGATGGTGGATGGTGAAACAGTTTTTCATCCGGTCGGTGCGAACATGGAAACAGAGAAGGCTGTTTGTTGCACTTGGGATTTGCTTGAGCTTGTAGGCCACGATGGGCCACTTGCTATGCCATTCAATGCCATTCAATGCCTATCCTTCCAAACGTATCGGATGGGCTTCATTGTCCAGATTTGTAGGCTTCGTTTGCGGGGTCCAACAGCCAAATCTCCCTCAACCCTGGGAGGTTCACCCTTCATTGAGGTGGCCAGCAATGGTCTCGTAAATTCTTTGGGGTGTTGTCGGGGGTGCGAGATGTTCTTGTGTCTAGAAACATTGGAGCCGTGTGAGACCACATCATGAGGGTGTGAAGGACATGTTGCATTGATGCTCATGAACTTGATGACTTTGGAAGTGCAACCAGCATCCAAGAGGTCACCAATGGAAAACTGCAAGTTTGGGGCCCTTCCCTGCCCTAGATTGGTAGAGGATTTTCTGAAATGACTTGTGGCATAATTCATCATCAACGGGGTAGATGCGAACAATTGTGAACATCCATTGAGATCCATTGAGTACTGTGGAACATTGATCTTACCAATACGTATCCAGCAATGGTTTGGACGGATGAATCTGAATATAGATAAAACACTATATCTACTTGGCCAGGCAGCTTGCACAGATTGCAATAGATTGCAGCCATTGCAGTATCAATGCATTTAGCTTTGCGTTGGCTTCGTTTTGTTGGCTAGACCTTCTCCAAAGGAGACAGTGAAGCTGCGCGGACGGCACGAAATGCTGCGCTCGGTTCGTGCTGCTTGTGTTTGTCGAATTGATCCGCTCAGACTTCCGATGCAAGCGGGGCCGGTGGTTTGAGTCCAAAAACAGGAGATTTACATAGACTACATACACTCCGATCCACTAACATGGACCCTGGACCGCCTGCTGGTTTGTAGCAGATTGTCGGCCAGGCCATCCACTTCCATGTGTGTGAGTTGTTGGGAGTGTAATACCCCTGAGCAAGACCTCCTGCTTCTTGGCGGCATACGGCCGAGTGACTTCAAACGCAACATGTACAAAGTGTTCTTCCATAGCGAGCACGACCATACATAACCATACATACCTGAATGTCCAATGGAGACCTCGAAGTAGTGTAGTGTTGGCTGTGGGGGGGCACCCTTTGGAAAAGTCCTGCCTGGAAACCCAAACAACAACAAGCAAATAGTTGTTCCAATATGGTAATGGAGATCCTTTACATAGGAAGTGGCTGTTTCGGGAAAGAACCAGACTTGTTTCTGGTTGGGACGTGATTTCCAGGTGGTACATCTGCGGCATACTGTCGTGGAGAAATGGGTGATCAAGACACCCATCCTTAGGATCACGCAGTCCACCGAAAACGAGGATCACACAGCGGGGGCTCTCTCAGTCCTCCGTGTGTCTCTCAGTCATCCGTCGGGAATGACAGGACGGTGGAAACGAACTCTGGCGCTCTTGGTGGGAGGCGACCCCGCGCTCGCTTGCGCGCGGTGGATGCAGTGAATTCCACCACTGCCTTTCCGGAAGTCTTAACGTCCTAACTGTTTTTTTTTTTTTAAATGTTTTTTTGTTCGTTTTCGGGCCACGGCCACGATGCAATGTATTCAGCGGTATACCGCATGCTGCAGTTGGGAGCAGCCAATAATTGTTGAAAGTATTTTAATTACTGTAACACAATTTGGTGCAGCGCCAGACATGCCAACCGATGTTGTTTGCATGTCTTTGCAAAAACAAGGTGTGCATAGCTCATATATATATATATATATACACAGCCTCACCCCTTGACAAGGACAACACCTAACCTCATGAGGAAGCTTTTTTGTGAAACGAGCAACGTGCCTCAGGTGGTCAGGGGATCTCCAACGAGCAACGACGCCAGCTTTGGTGCCATGCACAAGAGGCACATGTGTGGGGGCTGGCAGGACATGCATGCGTCATGCGTGTGTATTTTAAACCTTAGGAAAAGGCCTTTACTAACGATCATCATCCACTGAGGCCCTGGATGACATGTCAAGGTATTGTCGTATTGTTGTTGATTCGCCCGGGCTTTAGCATCTGTTCAGACCTTCGAGGAGCGATCCGGCAAAAGAAAGGTCTTCACAGCTGCGAAGACCTCTGAAATAAAAGCGATTTCCGGTGTTGGTTGGTTTGAGATTGTGTTTTTTTGATGTTGAGCCACTGAACATGAGTTCTTCAAAATCCAGGGAAGCTATCAGTTTTTGGGGTAGTTGCATGTTGTTGTGGAAAAACACAAAACTACAGACCTTTTTGGACCCATAAAGCGTTCGACGTTCAGATGGAACGGCACAGCTTCTCCTTCGGTGTTGTGAAGGTGTGAGAAGGAAGCATCAATGGATCATTGGAAGTCGCGATGGTCTTTTTTTGTTTACGTTGCAAAGTGGTTGAGTTGAGAATTAAGAACATGGAAGCATGTCATGGGTGTACAGACAGACCACCCGGTGGATGAACCAGAAGATCGGACGCAAGCATGTATCAAAGGGGGTGAGTTGACCATCTTGGCATGATGACAAGTTGGTTGCCATTGGGGAGGCTCCAGTTTGTTTAGGCGGTGTATCACGTTGCAAGGCTTCACTTGCTACAACCGGTTTGCAATGGGCAGGAAGACCATCAATGGGGTCACTTCAGTTGAAGCCTTGAGCGGATCCTGGGGCACAAGTCTCTGCTGGAGGAGCAGTACGACACTGGCTGAGAGGGCTGAGAGTATGGTAGAGTCCAAAAGACTGATGTATCTCACAACTCCTACCTGGCCTTTTGGCTGATATCCAGAAGATCATCTTGGAGTAGGACTTGGAGATCGCCCTTTTGA